TTGTATCTAGACACACCCACACACATCATGTAGTTATCACCTGCTTGTATCTAGACATGCACGCACACACACATGTAGTTATCACCTGCTTGTATCAAGACACACCCACACACATGTAGTTATCACCTGCTTGTATCTAGACATGCACACACACACACACATCATGTAGTTATCACCTGCTTGTATCTAGTCACAACCACCCACATCATGTGGTCATCACCTGCTTGTATCTAGACACACACACACATCATGTAGTCATCACGTGCTTGTATCTGGAAACACACACACACATCATGTAGTCAACACCTGCTTGTATCTAGACACACACACACATCATTTAGTCATCACCTGCTTGTATCTGGAAACACACACACATCATGTAGTCATCACCTGCTTGTATCTAGACACACACACACATCATGTAGTCAACACCTGCTTGTATTTAGTTACACACACACACACACAAGTAGTCATCACCTGCTTGCATTTAGACACACACACACACACATCATGTAGTCATCACCTGCTTGTATCTGGAAACACACACACATCATGTAGTCAACACCTGCTTGTATCTAGACACACACACACATCATGTAAATATCACCTGCTTGTATCTAGACACACACACACACATCATGTAGTCATCACATGCTTGTATCTGGAAACACACACACATCATGTAGTCAACACCTGCTTGTATCTAGACACACACACACATCATGTAGTCATCACCTGCTTGTATCTAGACACACACACACATCATGTAGTCAACACCTGCTTGTATTTAGATACACACACACAGAAGTAGTCATCACCTGCTTGTATTTAGACACACACACACACACACACATCATGTAGTCATCACCTGCTTGTATCTGGAAACACACACACATCATGTAGTCAACACCTGCTTGTATCTAGACACACACACACATCATGTAAATATCACCTGCTTGTATCTAGACACACACACATCATGTAGTCATCACCTGCTTGTATCTGGAAACACAGACACATCAAGTAGTCATCACCTGCTTGTATTTAGACACACACACACACATCAAGTAGTCATCACCTGCTTGTATCTAGACACACACACACACTTGCTTGACACACACACACATCATGTAGTCAACACCTGCTTGTATTTAGATACACACACACAGAAGTAGTCATCACCTGCTTGTATTTAGACACACACACACACACACATCATGTAGTCATCACCTGCTTGTATCTGGAAACACACACACATCATGTAGTCAACACCTGCTTGTATCTAGACACACACACACATCATGTAAATATCACCTGCTTGTATCTAGACACACACACATCATGTAGTCATCACCTGCTTGTATCTGGAAACACACACACATCAAGTAGTCATCACCTGCTTGTATTTAGACACACACACACACATCAAGTAGTCATCACCTGCTTGTATCTAGACACACACACACACATCAAGTAGTCATCACCTGCTTGTATCTAGACACACACACACACACACATCAAGTAGTCATCACCTGCTTGTATCTGGAAACACACACACACACACACACATATCATGCATTCATCACCTGCTTGCTTGTATCTGGACATGTACACACATCATGTAGTCATCATCTGCTTGCATCTAGACACATATACACATCATACAGTCATCACCTGCTTGTATCTGGAAACACACACACACATCATGTAGTCATCACCTACTTGTATCTAGACATGCACACATAGATCATGTCAAGTCACTTGGTGGAATATAAACACAAACAAAACATGCATCAAGAAAATCATCTGCCTGTACAAGCAACTGCATTGATCAAACATCTTCCCTGGCTAAAGACAAATCTCAGATGACGTTTCAATGCACAATGTTGAAATGACACAAATATGAACATATCATTTCACATAATTTACTGTGTGGATGGGAACAAATCTGTTCTTTCAAAGGCAGACACGGTTTCAACATGTCAGCATTGTCAGTTTCATCAAACACATCATGTAAATAGTTGACAGTCAGCTGGGCAGAGGGCTGTGGACAGATGAGATTACCAACAGTACACAGCTTGGACTATTATGAGAAGAAGAACTGTGCTTGACAGACAAAGGGTTTAGAAGCTATGACAGCTTCAGGAGAGTACGATGGATAGACAATATACCAGAGATCCTGAAGCAACACAGACTAACAACAACACGTGCAACACACCTGGCCCAGGATAGAAAACTGCGACTCCCCACTACGCTGTGAGGCAATTGTGGACAAGACAAGACAAGACAGCTTCAGGGTCAGCATTCATGGGACAATGTAGCTACAGAATAAACTGCCCTAACCAAAATGACAATTTGCTCTCAGTGATTCCTGCAGTTACAAGAAATTAATTTGACCACAGAAGTCAGGACAATGTTCTCAGCATGACCAGAGAAAACCTGCCATGGGAAATAACAATGTACCCCACAATGCAACACCCAAAGAAGAAAAAACTGGAATCGTTTGGAGTGGGCCAATGTATTTGGATACCTTGATTAAAACAAAGGAACAATGTTCTCAAGAAATACAGCTCAATGAAACAAGCAGATTGTTCACACCAGACGACCCACACTCTATGCAGTGACTTGGAAATGTAGCCAGAGTTCTCAGAAGTCAACCCTGATGTCTGCAAGCCAATCAGGGACAGTCAGCAGACTGGGGAGAAATAATGCTCAACCCAATGAGATGCGGGCACACACAAGAATGACAGCACCATGGACTGATAAAAGGATGGCCTGAAAGAGAGAATTGACTACCCATTCTTTGAACCACTCATAAGACATAAGTATGTCATGACAACAGAAAGTGTGTAGAGTAGAGAGAACTGACCATACCTATTCTTTGGACCACTCATAAGACATAAGTATGTCATGACAACAGAAAGTGTGTAGAGTAGAGAGAAGTGACTACCCATTTTTTGGACCACTCATAAGACATAAGTATGTCATGACAACAGAAAGTGTGTAGAGTAGAGAGAAGTGACTACCCATTTTTTGGACCACTCATAAGACATAAGTATGTCATGACAACAGAAAGTGTGTAGAGTAGAGAGAACTGACTACCCATTTTTTGGACCACTCATAAGACATAAGTATGTCATGACAACAAAAAGTGTGTAGAGTAGAGAGAACTGACTACCCATTTTTTGGACCACTCATAAGACATAAGTATGTCATGACAACAAAAAGTGTGTAGAGTAGAGAGAACTGACTACCCATTTTTTGGACCACTCATAAGACATAAGTATGTCATGACAACAGAAAGTGTGTAGAGTAGAGAAAACTGACCATACCTATTCTTTGGGCCACTCATAAGACATAAGTATGTCATGACAACAGAAAGTGTGTAGAGTAGAGAAAACTGACCATACCTATTCTTTGGGCCACTCATAAGACATAAGTATGTCATGACAACAGAAAGTGTGTAGAGTAGAGAGAAGTGACTACCCATTTTTTGGACCACTCATAAGACATAAGTATGTCATGACAACAGAAAGTGTGTAGAGTAGAGAGAAGTGACTACCCATTTTTTGGACCACTCATAAGACATAAGTATGTCATGACAACAGAAAGTGTGTAGAGTAGAGAGAACTGACTACCCATTTTTTGGACCACTCATAAGACATAAGTATGTCATGACAACAAAAAGTGTGTAGAGTAGAGAGAACTGACTACCCATTTTTTGGACCACTCATAAGACATAAGTATGTCATGACAACAAAAAGTGTGTAGAGTAGAGAGAACTGACTACCCATTTTTTGGACCACTCATAAGACATAAGTATGTCATGACAACAAAAAGTGTGTAGAGTAGAGAGAACTGACTACCCATTTTTTGGACCACTTATAAGACATAAGTAGGTCATGACAACAGAAAGTGTGTAGAGTAGAGAGAACTGACCATACCCATTCTTTGGACCACTTATAAGACATAAGTAGGTCATGACAACAGAAAGTGTGTAGAGAATGAGAGAACTGACCATACCCATTCTTTGGACCACTCATAAGACATAAGTATGTCATGACAACAGAAAGTGTGTAGAGAATGAGAGAAGGTGTTTGGCAGAGAGAATCATCTGTATAAACACTGCTACAGCTGCTATAGTGTGTAACAATTACATCTACACAAGTCAAGACTACACTGAAACAAATGACCCCACAAGAGACATCTCACACTGAAACAAATGACCGCACAAGAGATCTCACACTGAATCAAATGACCCCACAAGAGACATCTCACATTGAAACAAAAGACCCCACAAGAGACATCTCACACTGGAAAACACCTATAGTAAACACAGATGCTAGAGCTGCTGATGGAGTCAACACTTGACATCAACAACACCACAAATATGAGCATTCACCTGCCAACAACACCACAAACATGAGCATTCACCTGCCAACAACACCACAAATATGAGCATTCACCTGCCAACAACACCACAAACATGAGCATTCACCTGCCAACAACACCACAAACATGAGCATTCACCTGCCAACAACACCACAAATATGAGCATTCACCTGCAAACAACACCACAAACATGAGCATTCACCTGCCAACAACACCACAAACATGAGCATTCACCTGCCAACAACACCACAAACATGAGCATTCACCTGCCAACAACACCACAAACATGAGCATTCACCTGCCAACAACACCACAAACATGAGCATTCACCTGCCAACAACAGTTCTGTAACTGCCATCTATTTAACCTACTGGTCCACAGCCATGGCAGATAGACAACAATAACCTATCCTCCTCCTGCTGTGGCGACATGTTAACTTGTTTAAATCTAATCAATCTGAAACTAATCACTGACTGGTTCCGATAACTTTCTGAAACAAATCTCTCTCAGATTACAGACTCCATCATTTCTGGTCACACTGGTGTACTCCAGTCAGAGGGAGCCAATGTCACAGGATGCTGGTTTGATGAACAAGACTGTCAGAAACATTATTGTTGTGACAACGCTGATGACTCGGCTGTGTCAGAGATGTCGCCTTCCTCCACCCCATCACCCACCTCGTGTGTTCCATGAATATGTTCTAATCCTTCTGATGTTTGTGTCAGAGTTTCCAGATGATGGACGGCTAAATGCTGTAGAGGAAAGATAGAAATCAATCACTACAAACAAGAGACAACATGTCAGCAACACAGTTGAGTTCATGGACATCAGTGAGACAACATGTCAGCAACACAGTTGAGTTCATGGACATCAGTGAGACAACATGTCAGCAACACAGTTGAGTTCATGGGCATCAGTGAGACAACATGTAGGCAACACAGTTGAGTTCATGGGCATCAGTGAGACAACATGTCAGCAACACAGTTGAGTTCATGGGCATCAGTGAGACAAGATGTCAGCAACACAGTTGAGTTCATGGACATCAGTGAGACAAGATGTCAGCAACACAGTTGAGTTCATGGGCATCAGTGAGACAACATGTCAGCAACACAGTTGAGTTCATGGACATCAGTGAGACAACATGTCAGCAACACAGTTGAGTTCATGGACATCAGTGAGACAAGATGTCAGCAACACAGTTGAGTTCATGGACATCAGTGAGACAAGATGTCAGCAACACAGTTGAGTTCATGGACATCAGTGAGACAACATGTCAGCAACACAGTTGAGTTCATGGACATCAGTGAGACAACATGTCAGCAACACAGTTGAGTTCATGGACATCAGTGAGACAACATGTCAGCAACACAGTTGAGTTCATGGACAGTTGAGACAACATGTCAGCAACACAGTTGAGTTCATGGGCATCAGTGAGACAACATGTCAGCAACACAGTTGAGTTCATGGACATCAGTGAGACAACATGTAGGCAACACAGTTGAGTTCATGACATCAGTGAGACAACATGTCAGGACACAACACAGTTGAGTTCATTCATGAGACATCAGTGAGACAACATGTGAGACAAGATGTCAGCAACACAGTTGAGTTCATGGGCATCAGTGAGACAAGATGTCAGCAACACAGTTGAGTTCATGGACATCAGTGAGACAGATGTCAGCAACACAGTTTGAGTTCATGGACATCAGTGAGACAAGATGTCAGCAACACAGTTGAGTTCATGGACATCAGTGAGACAAGATGTCAGCAACACAGTTGAGTTCATGGACATCAGTGAGACAACATGTCAGCAACACAGTTGAGTTCATGGACATCAGTGAGACAACATGTCAGCAACACAGTTGAGTTCATGGACATCAGTGAGACAACATGTCAGCAACACAGTTGAGTTCATGGACATCAGTGAGACAACATGTCAGCAACACAGTTGAGTTCATGGACATCAGTGAGACAACATGTCAGCAACACAGTTGAGTTCATGGACATCAGTGAGCATCAGTGAGACACATGTCAGCAACACAGTTGAGTTCATGGACATCAGTGAGACAACATGTCAGCAACACAGTTGAGTTCATGGACATCAGTGAGACAACATGTCAGCAACATGTCAGACAACACAGTTGAGTTCATGGACATCAGTGAGACAACATGTCAGCAACACAGTTGAGTTCAACACAGTTGAGTTCATGGGCATCAGTGAGACAACATGTCAGCAACACAGTTGAGTTCATGGCATCAGTGAGACAACATGTCAGCAACACAGTTGAGTTCATGGACATCAGTGAGACAACATGTCAGCAACACAGTTGAGTTCATGGACATCAGTGAGACAACATGTCAGCAACACAGTTGAGTTCATGGACATCAGTGAGACAACATGTCAGCAACACAGTTGAGTTCATGGACATCAGTGAGACAACAGAGCAACACAGTTGAGTTCATGGACATCAGTGAGACAACATGTAGGCAACACAGTTGAGTTCATGGACATCAGTGAGACAACATGTCAGCAACACAGTTGAGTTCATGGACATCAGTGAGACAAGATGTCAGCAACACAGTTGAGTTCATGGACATCAGTGAGACAAGATGTCAGCAACACAGTTGAGTTCATGGACATCAGTGAGACAACATGTCAGCAACACAGTTGAGTTCATGGACATCAGTGAGACAACATGTAGGCAACACAGTTGAGTTCATGGACATCAGTGAGACAACATGTCAGCAACACAGTTGAGTTCATGGGCATCAGTTAGATACATGTGCAGCTTAGTGTATTCAAGGACAGTGAATGTGTTGATCAATTCCATGATCCTCAAGTACCAGGGTTTGATTCTAGAGCGGCACAGTTTATTTAAACAAGCTCTTCTCAAGGTTTTCAGACTAAGGTACGAGAGCTGCACTGTGGAAGAGACCGGGGTCTCACCACATAATACTGCCAAAGACAACGGTACACTGTAGGCAACACTTGTTTGTGGAGATGGCAAATAAAACAATAATGAATGTTGCAGTAGCTGGCTCTATGGTGGGGTGAAGTAAACAGCAACCAGCTACTGCCCTCCGGTTACACAACTGGCAGATTGACTTTTTGATCTCAGATACATGAGTTTCAGCTGGTTTGTTTGTCTTTCAAGTGAATACTTGAGGTTATTTTAACATATGTGATACAACCTTCTCCCCCCCCCCCCCCCCCCAATCCATTGACTCCTTTGCAATTTTCTAAATATTTGTAATATGTTCCCAGACTGTACTGATGAGACAAGCCAACTGTAGACACAATTACAGAAGTGAGTGAGCCAACAGTGACCCTGTAACTAATCAGCCTTGATAGGATAGGAGGTCTGAATATGGGACACACCTGTCAGATTTGGAGAGCACACTAGAAACTGGAATATTGATTCACCAAAAAAGCCAGCTCACTGCATCAACAGCTCCCCAGAGAAGACAATATGACACAGATATTATATGTAGGGAGGCCAGCTTCCAACATCCAATAGAAGTTTTGATTGATTAACTATAATTGACATAATTACACACACGACACCATCAGGGGTGCTCTGTCTCTCTCAGCAGACATGAGAGTTTAGGTCTACAGATTTTTCCATTAGAGGACTAACCTATGAATGCATTTCTGCCAGAGTTCAGGTTAGCTTCTGCTAAAAGTCATTGGAAAAGGGGGCGCTTAGAAAAGTTAGTTTGCCAACATTTCTATTAGAATTAGTAGAAACATCACTTCAATGACCATACTGCAAGATGTATGTACATGCACACGCACATAATTCCAGGGTCAAGCTAGCCTCATAAAACAGGTATCAAAACTGTTATGGGAGGTACACACAAGCTTGAATCAACACAAATACCATAAAACCTCCAATGAAATAAACCTAATGGGATTATTAACTGAAAAAGCTTGTGAACTAGCAATAAACAGTGAAATCAGATCCCATGCTAAGTGCAGCATGAGTACATTTACAGGTATAATAACTGGATCCTTGTTTGTCTGATCTGTTAGCAGTTCCCTGGTACAAACAGTGAACACAACCGACATTGTCTGTCTAATCTGTTGGCAGTTCCCTGGTACAAACAGTGAACACAACAGACATTGTCTGTCTAATCTGTTGGAGGTTTCTTGGTACAGACACTGAACACAACAGACATTGTCTAATCGGTTGGAGGTTTCCTGGTACAGACACTGAACACAACAGACATTGTCTGTCTAATCTGTTGGAGGTTTCCTGATACAGACACTGAACACAACAGACATTGTCTGTCTAATCTGTTGGCAGTTTCCTGGTACAGACACTGAACACAACAGACATTGTCTAATCTGTTGGAGGTTTCCTGGTACAGACATTGTCTGTCTAATCTGTTAGAGGTTTCCTGGTACAAACACTGAACACAACAGACAATGTCTGCCTAATCTGTTGGAGGTTTCCTGGTACAGACACTGAAAACAACATACATTGTCTGTGTAATCTGTTGGAGGTTTCCTGGTACAAACACTGAACACAACAGACATTGTCTGTGTAATCTGTTGGAGGTTTCCTGATACAAACACTGAACCTAACAGACACTGTCTGTGTAATCTGTTGGAGGTTTCCTGGTACAAACAGTGAACACAACAGACAATGTCTGTCTAATCTGTTGGAGGTTTCCTGATACAAACACTGAACACAACAGACATTGTCTGTCTAATCTGTTGGAGGTTTCCTGATACAAACACTGAACACAACAGACATTGTCTGTCTAATCTGTTGGAGGTTTCCTGGTACAAACAGTGAACACAACAGACATTGTCTGTCTAATCTGTTAGAGGTTTCCTGATACAAACACTGAACACAACAGACATTGTCTGTCTAATCTGTTGGAGGTTTCCTGATACAAACACTGAACACAACAGACATTGTCTGTCTAATCTGTTGGAGGTTTCCTGGTACAAACACTGAACACAACAGACATTGTCTGTCTAATCTGTTGGAGGTTTCCTGGTACAAACAGTGAACACAACAGACATTGTCTGTCTAATCTGTTAGAGGTTTCCTGATACAAACACTGAACACAACAGACATTGTCTGTCTAATCTGTTGGAGGTTTCCTGATACAAACACTGAACACAACAGACATTGTCTGTCTAATCTGTTGGAGGTTTCCTGGTACAAACACTGAACACAACAGACATTGTCTGTCTAATCTGTTGGAGGTTTCCTGGTACAAACACTGAACACAACAGACATTGTCTGTCTAATCTGTTGGAGGTTTCCTGATACAAACACTGAACACAACAGACATTGTCTGTCTAATCTGTTGGAGGTTTCCTGGTACAAACACTGAACACAACAGACATTGTCTGTCTAATCTGTTTGAGGTTTCCTGATACAGACACTGAACACAACAGACATTGTCTGTCTAATTTGTTTGAGGTTTCCTGATACAAACACTGAACACAACAGACATTGTCTGTCTAATCTGTTGGAGGTTTCCTGATACAAACACTGAACACAACAGACATTGTCTGTCTAATCTGTTGGCAGTTCCCTGGTACAGACACTGAACACAACAGACAATGTCTAATCTGTTGGAGGTTTTCTGGTACAAACACTGACCACAACAGACATTGTCTGTCTAATCTGTTGGCAGTTCCCTGGTACAGACACTGAACACAACAGACATTGTCTGTCTAATCTGTTGGAGGTTTCCTGATACAAACACTGAACACAACAGACATTGTCTGTCTAATCTGTTGGCAGTTTCCTGGTACAGACACTGAACACAACAGACATTGTCTAATCTGTTGGAGGTTTCCTGGTACAGACATTGTCTGTCTAATCTGTTAGAGGTTTCCTGGTACAAACACTGAACACAACAGACAATGTCTGCCTAATCTGTTGGAGGTTTCCTGGTACAGACACTGAAAACAACATACATTGTCTGTGTAATCTGTTGGAGGTTTCCTGGTACAAACACTGAACACAACAGACATTGTCTGTGTAATCTGTTGGAGGTTTCCTGATACAAACACTGAACCTAACAGACACTGTCTGTGTAATCTGTTGGAGGTTTCCTGGTACAAACAGTGAACACAACAGACAATGTCTGTCTAATCTGTTGGAGGTTTCCTGATACAAACACTGAACACAACAGACATTGTCTGTCTAATCTGTTGGAGGTTTCCTGATACAAACACTGAACACAACAGACATTGTCTGTCTAATCTGTTGGAGGTTTCCTGGTACAAACAGTGAACACAACAGACATTGTCTGTCTAATCTGTTAGAGGTTTCCTGATACAAACACTGAACACAACAGACATTGTCTGTCTAATCTGTTGGAGGTTTCCTGATACAAACACTGAACACAACAGACATTGTCTGTCTAATCTGTTGGAGGTTTCCTGGTACAAACACTGAACACAACAGACATTGTCTGTCTAATCTGTTGGAGGTTTCCTGGTACAAACACTGAACACAACAGACATTGTCTGTCTAATCTGTTGGAGGTTTCCTGATACAAACACTGAACACAACAGACATTGTCTGTCTAATCTGTTGGAGGTTTCCTGGTACAAACACTGAACACAACAGACATTGTCTGTCTAATCTGTTTGAGGTTTCCTGATACAGACACTGAACACAACAGACATTGTCTGTCTAATTTGTTTGAGGTTTCCTGATACAAACACTGAACACAACAGACATTGTCTGTCTAATCTGTTGGAGGTTTCCTGATACAAACACTGAACACAACAGACATTGTCTGTCTAATCTGTTGGCAGTTCCCTGGTACAGACACTGAACACAACAATGTCTAATCTGTTGGAGGTTTCCTGGTACAAACACTGACCACAACAGACATTGTCTGTCTAATCTGTTGGCAGTTCCCTGGTACAGACACTGAACACAACAGACATTGTCTGTCTAATCTGTTGGAGGTTTCCTGATACAAACACTGAACACAACAGACATTGTCTGTTTAATCTGTTGGAGGTTTCCTGGTACAAACACTGACCACAACAGACATTGTCTAATCTGTTGGAGGTTTCCTGGTACAGACACTGAACACAACAGACACTGTCTGTGTAATCTGTTGGAGGTTTCCTGGTACAAACACTGAACACAACAGACATTGTCTGTCTAATCTTATGGAGGTTTTGTGGTACAAACACTGACTCACCTGTAAAGCTTCGATGTGAGCAGGATCTGTAACCACCAACACTTGCTGACCATTCTCACCCAGGGAGAGGCTGGTGAGTCCATGGATGCCACTCTGCTGCAGGTCCTGCAGGGTGAGGCTGCCAGGCGACTGCAGGGTGACTAGACTAGCAACCTGATGACCACCATCTGCTGTCATAAAGGCTGCTTCACTGGTACCAACACCTGAAGTCAGCAGCACCATCTGTGGATGACAACATCCAGGTTACATATAAACAAGCAAGTACCCTAATATTTATGTCAGTAACAACAACAACAAAGATCATGAACAGAGCCAAATGTTCTAGTTATTTAACACATCTTTCATGTCAGTTGTAATTCACCACTATCAGTTTCTAATTTCTGCCATCAAGTGTCATGGGAAGGAACAGTTTGCGGTCCACTGCTTGATGGATATCAATCATTGTCAACAATCCATCTTCTCCTAGCCTGATCTCTTGCTTCCACATGGGATCTTGTCAGGTTTAGTGCCTGTGTTGTGACTGCATTCTAAAGAGATGACCAAACCATCTGATCTTGTGTTTCTCAATTAATTTGGTGCTTGTTGTTAAACAGCCTGTCTGATATCATTTCTTACTTGTCTCAGGTAGGTCATCTGAACAGCCTGTCTGATATCATTTCTTACTTGTCTCAGGTAGGTCATCTGAACAGCCTGTCTGATATCATTTCTTACTTGTCTCAGGTAGGTCAGCTGAACAGCCTGTCTGATATCATTTCTTTCTTGTCTCAGGTAGGTCAGCTGAACAGCCTGTCTGATATCATTTCTTTCTTGTCTCAGGTAGGTCATCTGAACAGCCTGTCTGATATCATTTCTTTCTTGTCTCAGGTAGGTCATCTGAAGTGTGCTCAGGCATTTCACTGGGATTAGTTTTGTGTAACTGTTGTTAAAGGCGGCTCATAATAGAGTTTGGCAACCTAAACAGCATCAATATGTGCCGTGTTGAGCAATTATGATCCCCTTCAATCATCAGTGTTCTTAAGAAGCAGTGTTGCTAAGAGATATCATGTCTGTTCAAGTTCAGATGTCAGCAGGTTTGATACCCAGCACAGAGCCAGACAAAAATTCCCCTGGTTTCAAATGACCCCTGAATCTCTTGGCTACTGAGATCAGATATCTGCCTTCTTGTGTGAGGCTGAAAAACAGGGCCCCAAGCTGAAAGCTGGGCACAAGACAATTTCTCTATATTGCCAACCCACCTAGCAGGCCCCCCCCCCTAATTCTGCCAACCATCCTGCATATTCTTCCCCCATTCTTCCAACCCACCTAGCATGCCTCCTCCCCCCCCCCCTATTCTGCCAACAATCCTGCATATTCTTCCCCCATTCTGCCAACCCACCTAGCATGCCTCCTCCCCCCCCCCCCTATTCTGCCAACCATCCTGCATATTCTTCCCCCATTCTGCCAACCCACCTAGCAGGCTTCCCCCTTTATTCTGCCAACCATCCTGCATATTCTTCCCCCATTCTGCCAACCCACCTAGCATGCCTCCTCCCCCCCCCCCCATTCTGCCAACCATCCTGCATATTCTTCCCCCATTCTGCCAACCCACCTAGCATGCCCCACACTATTCTGCCAACGATCCTGCATATTCTTCCCCCATTCTGCCAACCCACCTAGCATGCCTCCTCCCCCCCCCCCCCCCTATTCTGCCAACCATCCTGCATATTCTTCCCCCATTCTGCCAACCCACCTAGCAGGCCCCCCCCCCTTTATTCTGCCAACCATCCTGCATATTCTTCCCCCATTCTGCCAACCCACCTAGCATGCCTCCTCCCCCCCCCCCCCATTCTGCCAACCATCCTGCATATTCTTCCCCCATTCTGCCAACCCACCTAGCATGCCCCACACTATTCTGCCAACGATCCTGCATATTCTTCCCTCATTCTGCCAACCCACCTAGCAGCCCCCCCCCCCTCTATTCTGCCAACCATCCTGCATATTCTTCCCCCATTCTGCCAACCCACCTAGCATGCCTCCTCCCCCCCCCCCCCCCCCACGCTATTCTGCCAACCATCCTGCATATTCTTCCCTTATTCTGCCAACCCAGCAAGCATGTGTAACCCAGATGCTACACAACAGTACCTGTGAAGCTTCTCCAGCAGTGACAATGAGATTCTGGCCAGTTCCCCCATCCTCGTGGCTAACTTCTGATTTGATTAGCATTTTCTTGGTCGGAGGCTCGTCTGTTTCTGAAAGACCTGAACCAATAAAGAAACAGTTTTGCATAAAGCCAACAGTAACAGTTCAGCTGACAATCCTAGGTATAAATCAATGAAAGTATAAGTAGAATGAGTTCCTCTCTGCCGATAGCCAATGCCTGCTTCACAGTTAAACAGCTACAGAAACATATAAAGCAATCACATGACAGCTGCTTCAAATATCACAAGACAATCAACAATGAAGAAAAAACAGAAGTCACAAGTATAAGCATAGAACATAAAAATAAACGACAATAGTTTGAAACAAGTGGAAGAATTTAATTTCTTGGGGAGCAATTATTACAACGGTGGACCAGAAAGAGAGAAACAAGAATCCAACAAGCCAACAGTGTTACTTATCAACTGACCCCAATCTTGCAACATCTGGCTCTTCCAACAAAGATTAAAACACTTTAGGTTACCAGTGTCAGACTTTGACAATAACTAAAAAACATGAGAGAAAACTAACCACCTAAAGGCTGCAAACAAAACCAGAAGAAATTATTTGAGAAATCAAGAGGTTGGAACAATAACCTAATTCAATTTTTGAGAAATAAAGAATGAAACGGTTTGGCCACCGAGTCAGAATGGCAATGCCCGTGTACAACATGAAAACCCAGAGGCAAAAGGAGACCCAGAAGAAAAGGCACTGAAGGAGTCACTGTCAGCTACAGACCATACAACATCACAGCTACAGACCATATAACATCACAGCTACAGACCATACAACATCACAGCTACAGACCATACAACATCACAGCTACAGACCATACAACATCACAGCTACAGACCATACAACATCACAGCTACAGACCATACAACATCACAGCACACCTAACAACCAAGCCTGCACCAGCTGGGCTACCTATCTTCTGTTAAACTGTGGCACCTACTTGCACAAAGCAGTTACTGACAAAGGAAGAAGCAAGCAGAAAGTTCAAGAAAGTGTCATGTAGCACTCAGATAAATGCAAAATACATGGGCAATTATCTTACGAGACATCATGTTTTTACAGAAATGTTAACGTAAATGCTACTTCTGCTAGGGGTTATGAATAGTTTCATAATTCTAACAGCAATACGGCAGCATGCCACACTGTGATTATGTTGACAGGTGTGAATGATGGCAAACTGCTGAAGGCCTAGTAAAACCCCACACCAGGCAACACATGCTGGGGTTGGATTGTGATGTTCTCTAAGAGAGAAGCAGCCGCTGGCTTGTGTGCTACTTCTAGTTGTGTCAAAGTAGGCTGCTACAGAGAAATAAGGAAATATACAAAATACAGAACTAATATCTTGGTGACCAAGATGGTGGAGTAAACACTGTTGGTGGATTTAGCAGAGGTTCAAGTGTGTTTTAGTATTTGTTTTTAACTCCAATGTGTTCAAATAAAGATGAACCTAGGACAGGTCCAGCAAACCGCTAGGGAATCTCATTGTTCAACTGATATAGCACCAGAATTATGGAGGAAATGACAAAGAAAAGCACGATTCTATCAGCGTTGTGAAGACCAGAAACACACATAACACATTGAACAACAACAGCAGCTACAGCCAAAAGCAAATGTAAAAAATGCAGTAGTTGTAATGTTAGCGGACTAGGAAATAAAGAACCACAACTAAGTGAATTCATGAAGAAATAAAACATCCAGATATCAGGAATAGCTGATACCAGGAAAAATGGACAAAATACCAAATGAATACATGATACACATAAATGTGTGAATATAGAGCAAGGTCAATCAACAGGCAAAGACCAAACATGGTGTCAGTTTTATAGGACATCCTGAAAAAGCTAAAAGCATATAAATACTGAATATATTTCTGCAAGAAAAATACTGATACATATTAGAGAAGGTGATAGAACAACTTACGCCTCATGTAATGACAGCTAAAGTGGAGAAGGAAAAACCCAAATATTTCGATCAACTTTCTGAAATATTAAGTACAGTGAATGAGAAAGACAAACTGATAGTGATGGGTGGTTTTAATGGCAGAGTAGGTAAAAGAAGAACACCATGGGAAGACCGCATAGGATCATTCAGTGATGAGGAGACAGTATGTAATATTAATGGTCATTCCCTACTTCTGACTGATACAGATCATTAACCAGTGATGAGGAGACAGTATGTAACATTAATGGTCATTCCCTACTTCTGACTCATACAGATCATTAACCAGTGATGAGGAGACAGTATGTAATATTAATGGTCATTCCCTACTTCTGACTGATACAGATCATTAACCAGTGATGAGGAGACAGTATGTAATATTAATGGTCATTCCCTACTTCTGACTGATACAGATCATTAACCAGTGATGAGGAGACAGTATGTAACATTAATGGTCATTTCCTACTTCTGACTCATACAGATCATTAACCAGTGATGAGGAGACAGTATGTAACATTAATGGTCATTCCCTACTTCTGACTCATTCAGATCATTAACCAGTGATGAGGAGACAGTATGTAACATTAATGGTCATTCCCTACTTCTGACTCATACAGATCATTAACCAGTGATGAGGAGACAGTATGTAACATTAATGGTCATTCCCTACTTCTGACTCATACAGATCATTAACCAGTGATAGTTAAAAGAAAACAGACCGCAAGAAAACAATATTCTCAAAGTTAAAAATACAGTGAGGACACATTATGAGGACCTTACATGACAACACTGTCAAAACCACTTTAAAGAAGACATAAAAAGCTGTTTAATAACCTTCCTGCCGAGTACTCGGATGTTCGGAATGAATGCGCAAACTTCAAATCTTCATTACCCAACACTCTTAGAAACAAATGTAGAACCAAAATAAGTAGGACAAGACAAATGGTTAAGAATGGCATTGTGGAATTACGATGTCAAAGATATCATTTCTAAAAAGAAGGAAGCATTCAAACAATGGATTCAATCAACATGTGAACAAGGTTATATTATCTACAGATTGATAAGAAGACATGCAAAACGAAAGATCAAAGCTTCTAAAGATGAATCATTGAAAAAGAAGAAGTTCCCCTAGAGAGTTTTACAAACAGGTTAAAAATATGAGAGCCAGAAATGAGTGCTATAATCCAACCACTATTTTAAACAACAAGAGAGGCCGTCCTGTATTTAATCCACATCAAAAGCTAGCAAGATGGGCAGAATATTTTAAAGAGCTACTCAACCCTGAAAATGAGGTAGATAACATCAATTTTGTGCCTAAAAGCAGTGACCAACATGAACCAAGCTTTAACATCAGAAGTAAAAGCTGATATAAAGAGGAGCACTAAAAATAAAGCACCTGGTTCGGATGGAATAACTACAGAAGCTCTTCAAGCATGCGGGCAAACTGGCATCAGATGGCTAACAAGAATGGTCAATACAGCATTGGAAGACAGGAAAGTTCCACTTGACTGACAGCAGGCATTGATGATACCAGTCTGGAAAGAGAAAGGTAATACAAGAGACTGTGCATCGTACAGAGGTGTATCATTCTTGAGCCACATACGAAAAATATATGTTAAACTGCAAAAAAAAAAAAAAAATTTTTTTTTTGCACGAACAGAGAATTAGATCTATAGCGGAACAGACCTAAGTACATCACAATTTGGTTTCAGAAATTAAAAAAGTTACATAGATGCATTATTTACACTAAGACAAGGTTGCAAAAAAAAAAAAAAATTGAATATGATGACATAAAAAAACAAATATGACAAAAAGCTTTTGATAGAGTAGATAGAAAAAAACTATGGGTTATTCTTAAGGATTATGGGATACAAGGATAGTTGCTAGATAACATCGTAGCCATGTACCACACTTACCAAAGTGCAGTGAGAACACAAGAAGGCATGTCTGATATGTTTACAATCAATACAGGGATGTGTTCTATCTCCTCTCTTATTTACTATATACACTGACAGAATATCAAAAGAAGCCAGTTTTAATCCAGAATATGAGGAACTTTACTTTCCAGAGGAAGAATTAGAACCAAAAATGAGCAACTATTTGCACACAATCAGTGCTTGTTCTACAATGAGGGGAGTAGACTGCAAGACCATTCAAACAGGCTAAGTTCAACATGCAAAAATATCACATGAAAATAAATACTACTAAAACTGAGGTTATGCAGGTTAGCGGAATTCCTAGTCCGCTACATATCGCGTTGAATGATGGCACCTGTCTGAAGCAAGTAAAGAATTTAAATATCTAGGAAGTATATTCTTGGAGGACGGAAGAATAGATCGGGAAACAAAACAAAATGCCAATGAGCCAGTGCACTTATATACTAACTGACATGGTTATTGTAGTGAACCATTTTCTCCTTGATAAATTATGTTCCAGATGGAATGACGTCAGCTAATAAATCTGAATGAGATATTGAAATGTAACAAGGGCAAATGAAACCCGTGTGAATCGGAGAACATGAAAAAGTTGTAATTATAATGTGGGCGTTAGAAGATTATATAATGCCTTAGAAAGAGCATGTGGACAGTCTCGTTTGGGCCAAGAAACTGAGTGCATGAAGAACGGAGGAGTGTCTGTTGGAGCCAGAATGTGTTTGAGTCTGATATGTCTGCAGAGTTGTTCCCAATGCCGACTTGGCCAGACAGCATTGACTGACGGAACCCCCACAGCCAGCTAATTGTGTGTGTTTGCTCGGATGGAAATTATTCATTATCTTTCATTTGCTGTGGTGATGGAAAATGTGTTTCGTATCAAGGTATAGTTGATACTTTCTAGAGTTTTAGGATAGATATGAGTAACCGTGTTGTACCCTAACATGTACTGGCTGAAGAAACAGCGAGTGAACAAATAAATTGTGAAACTGCACTGTATCGCTCACTGTCGTCCATGTTTACTCGTGTGTTGACTGTCGGCACATGGATGGGAGTCTGCAAGTGACTGGAGCCAAAGACAATAAGAATAGAGTTATTGCAGTTATTAAGACATCCAAACATAAGTATGAGGCTGACAAACAATACACCTCCTCTCACTCCAACTGGTAAACACATATTGTCTAATCAGAACGTGGTCTGATCTTATAGCCAGGTGTTGGGCTCCATGTGGCAACATGTGGTTGTTCTCCCCTCCTTGAGAACCTCGTTTTCTCCAAGTATTTGGCCTCTCAGTTTCGGTTTGTCGAGATTTCCCCCTACCTTCTTAATCAGGGAATCCCCGTGTGAAAACATCCCACATTGCTACGGGTGCGATTAAATGTTGGACTTGGTAAAGAAGTAGGGACAAGGATTGGACATATTTGTGAGTGCATTATTGTCAATAAACATGCTGACGTCTCCTTTGCTCATAACCTTGGTGCATTGTTGATTATAACATCTGATGGAAAACACCCCTAGACAACAGACAAAGACACAAAGCAAAGCATTATTGCAATTATAAACAGCACATTCATACCAACACTCGGCTACCAGTGCCAGACTTGGACATTATCAAAGGCTAACCTACATAAAATTAACACCTGTGAAATGAGATGCCCGAGAAAAGCCGCCAACTTAACCATTCGAGACAAAGTTAGAAATGATATTAACATACTGTAGGAACAACACCATGCAGCAAATTCATTGAAAAAAAGAAGATCAAATGGTTTAGTAATTTAGTAAGAATGCAGCCATAATACCTACCAATGCAGGCGCTACACATGAAAAGATCTGAAGTGAAAGCAAAATAGCCACCCTAGGAGAATATGGATCGATGACATTAAAGAGCCTCTACATCGACATGGAATAACAAAAGCCGCTGATTCTCATCAAGCAATGGATCACAAACTGTTCCTCCCCACAACGCTTAACAGCAGAAGTGGAAATTGAAGATTTGACATCCTGGCCACTCAAAGAGCCACATTCTGAATGGTAAAATCTCAGATACCTGTTCAACATCACAAGAAATTATAATGATGTCACCACAACAGCTCTTCCCTGCAGGGCCCCATTGTTGGCAAAACAAGAATAGACCCACTGCCTCCCCAACAAACATGTCCTAGAAGTCTACATAACTGGGGACTTCCTCAGAGTCAGAGTGCATCTAACCCAGTGGCAAGGAACAACCAACTGCACACAAATAAGTCAGTCAAACGGATGTAGACTCAAAACTCTGGCCCTGGCACAAAGTCAAAGTCCAACGGACGAACAACCAGGACTTCCCGCTGGATGTTACAGCTAGAGAACAAAGAAGAAGAAACACAAAATACAAGTTTAAAAAGAGCACAGAACGTAAGTACAAGAAATGTCAGTTACTAACATTAGTGTCTAAACCAGCCGGCATAACCAGTCTTGTCATCATCATCATCATAAATCACTTCTGCAATCCAGTGCTCGCTGGCTAGCACTAGCTATTGTTATGCCACAAATGTGCCTGGTGTCTTTAATGTCGTCGGTCCATGTTTTGTCATGGTCATCCTCTTGTAGCTGATCTTCTGAGATGTAGTACCTGTGATGGTGTTTGATGTTGTACACTCTGATGAGATGGCCAAACCACGTTATCTGCTGTGTCTCAATAAATCTAGTACAAGGTGTCATTTTCATAATTTGTCTGATAGTATCATTATTAACCTGATCTCAGATGGTTAAGCTGGCAGCTTTTCTGAGGCATCTGATCTCGGAAATGGTGATTTTGCGTATATGGGCTTTAGATAATGTCAAGGTTTGGCACTGCAGGTCAATGTTCAAATGAATATGCTGCTTATAATCTGTTTCTCTGCACTCATAGTTATGTTTGGATGGCCAAACAATGGTTAAAAATTGGAATATATGTGCACTTGCTTTCTGGCATTTGGTTTCTATTTCTCAGTCAATTCTGTCATCTTCTGTGATTATCCTTCCATGACATTTAAATTAGCTAACTTATTTCAGGCCTGAAGCATTCAGCTGTATGTGTACTGAGTTGTGTGTGCAATGATCTTCATGTGATATTTACTGCATACAAGTTTCTATGCTTACTGATCAGAAGAACAAACAGTTGTGGAGAACTTACCACCATTTTCCTGTGCTGCTACAAGAATGCCGGGAGGTATGTCCTCACCGTGTGCTGTACGTTTATGCATGGCCAGTGTGCTAGTCTGCCTATAGGTTTTACCACAATGACACGTGTACGGCTTGGTGTGTGTATGAACAACATGGTGCTTATAGAGACTGCTGTACTCTGTGAACCGCTTTCCACACCCTTGAACTGTACACACATATGGCTTCTCACCTGTTTGTGACAAAGTCGGGAAAAATGAATACCTCAACAAGCAAATTACTCAGGTACTGTAAGTTCATTTATAATGAAAGTGATTTAATATAACATCAAATACTGGCATGTAGAAATTTCTCATGCTTCGACTTGTGCCTATCACTTCTGTAGAGCCAACTAGCTTTTTCATGAAATCACTATGTAACTAAGCCCTTCTATTCTTTCCATAATTACAAACCCCACTTTCTCTAATGCCTTCATTTAATCAAGTATGATGACCCACGTAATCAATTATTGCAACCATTCTGTGTATTCCACACTGGTCACAGTCCATGGTAGGTAGTCTTCATGGCCAACTGGTCAAATCATTTGCCTTGTACATTTCAGACTGCCTCATTCAGTTTGCAAGTGAAATTTCTCTGAGGTCTTGGGGATCATCACTGGAGCTATGGAGTTCATGCTCTATGTCTAGCCCTATTTGCTCAATGAGTCTGATGGCCTGGACAAGTTTTTTTTTTACTTTAAAGAAATGAATAAAGTTGTGGTTTATGTTGCTAGAAACAGACAATGCCATGCACAGGGACATCACAATGTTTCAGGGACATCACAATGTTTCAGGGACATCACAATGTTTCAGGGACATCACAATGTTTCAGGGACATCACAATGTTTCAGCAAGCAAGAAACCCCAACAGCTGTGATATTGCTTGGATCCCTAACTGTACTTCACTAGTAAACAAAAACTAAACTCAACTTACCTGTGTGTATTCGAATGTGATTTTTGTAATTTGTAGCAGATGCAAACGCCCGACCACATCCTTCCATAGAACAAATATATGGTCTTTCACCTGTGTGTGTTCGAATGTGCACCTTGCGAATGTTTGATGTGGTGAACGATTGTGTACAACCCTCAAAGGGGCATTTGAATGGCCGTTCACCTAAAATCAAGACAGAATATCCAAACTTTAAAAGGCTAAATAAATTACAAGGACATTTGCAAACCCTTTAATACAATTCTTTATGTTGTGGTGACCCCCAAACATAAAATTATTTTTCGTTGCTATTTCATAACTTCAGTGAATATGTGTTTTCCGATTGTCATAGGTAACCCTCGTGAAAGGGTTGTTTGACTCGAAAAAACTGGTCAAGACCCACAGGTTGAGAACCGCTGATCTTCAGCCGTCACTACAAAAATGAAGAAGTCACTGCTCTGAAAAGGTATTAGTACTACTTATATCATGTGTGATTGTTCCTTTTTTTGTAATATCATCCATCTGTTCTACCAACTCACTTAATATATACATTAATAAACAATTGTAGACACCTCTTTCAAATGAAGGGTCATGTCTTTAATTTTATTTCTGCTGGTAAGACAGCCAGCTCCGGCACTTACAGTTTCATTAGGTGGTTGAACATACAACAACCAGTGAATTTGTTCAAACCTTTATCGTGAAAATACGATTCCGTAAAAATGTATACATTCAGCTGAAAAAATCTTTTCTCGTTCCTGCATTGTCATTCTCAAAATGACTCCAAGATATGCTTGTATTTCAACAGCTGTAACATCTAACCAAGTACGCCAATAAACAACGTGCTGCAAGGGTTTTACTTTGCATCTTTGCAGCTATGTGCCTGTTGGTTTCCTTGACTATGTTTTTTCAAAGAGATCAGGTGTAAAACCAGTTCAAAGAAACCACAAACTGTTGTAGGCATTTCATTATTAGAAATCTGCACATCTGCATTTTGCACTGCAAACATAAATTTATTGATGTCAGAAGAACTTGATTTAAGCCACTCATCACTCACTGCACTTTAATCAGCTGCTGATTTAGATCGATCTAAATTACTGTCTTCATCGCTACTGTCATTATTCTCCTCTTCAGATGACAAATCATTACTTTCAGGAATTATATAAACACTGTCATTTGCATCTATATCACTTTCCAAAGAAAAACTGGAATCACTTTCCTCTTAATAAAAATATTTAGCTGTCAAACGAGTACGTTTGTTTGGACCTACCATTCTTACTTTATTCCTAATTTTTAATTTTCATTACAAATGAAACGTTTCCTGTTTGGTTTGCACAGATTATTACCAAAAAATTGTGGTCCAAACAAATGTTTTGCCATGTAAGACATACGAGAAAAAACAATGGCTTGTTACTAGCATGTCTAACTGGGTAAGACAATCGGGCAGAACAGGAAAATCATGTCTTACCAAGTTGGACATACGACCTGTAAAGGACAGATGCACGGAGATGCAAGTAAATGTTTTAAGAACAGACATTTCACCAATGTTAATACAAGTGGTAACTACATCTCATATTTACACAGATACGGTTTCATTACACACAAACAAAAGTCCAATATGAAAGAACAACCCAATCTTCATGCTTTTTACTGATTGACAGCTACCTACCTGTGTGTGTTCTAACATGTTTTTGTAGATCGCCTGAGGTTTTGAAGGCTTTCTCACATCCTTTCTCAGTATGTGGGCAAGGATAAGGCTTCTCACCCGTATGGACACGGTTGTGTGACTTGAGACCATAGCCGGTGGCAAACCTCTTCCCACAGCTGGGAAACTCACACTGAAATGGCCTGTCTCCAGTATGTGACCTTTCATGAACCTTATAGAAATACACAGATATCTCACATGAAATAATGACAGTTTTTTTTTTCATAATGATGCTAGAGAGGTGTAGGGAATACAGATGGAGATTGGGGGCCTACCCTGGAACATAATCAATGTATATGCTGCCCTGGGCTCTTTAGTTACACAACAGTGGGACTGGCTCAAAGGCCTGGAGGGGATTCCTGGCAACAGGCTCCTCAATTGTGGGGATTTCAATGCACAGAACAATGAATGGGACAGTACTGAGGAAAACCGACAGGAAGTTGCCCTTGCTGGCGCCATCGTTGATTCCGACCTTGTCGGTTTAAATGATGGGACGCTAATTAGAATGGCAATAAGGCCCGGCGATGGAGACATTTCTATTGACCTGGTTCTGGTTACCCAGTCAGCAGTAATGTACACCAAATGGACTGTCCTGGGCGATCATGGAAGTGACCATCTGCCATGTTCGGTATTGATTTCCAAATCCAGGAAAGTCAAGGCTTCAAGATCTTCTAGGCCTTTCAAGTATGAGCGGACTAACACCCTTCTTGGACTCCTCTAACAGAGGGCATGTAAGAGGGCCGGCAGATCTACTTTTGTGCAGCCTCCATGGTGGACATCAGAGGTTGAACAGGCACCGAAGTTAAAGAGAGCTGCAGTAAGGCATTTAAAGAAAGTACGACAGACAGTCCTAAAATCACAGGAGGAGTTGGAATGCGTGGAAAGAAATACGAAAGATTAGTTTTTCAAGTGCTGTGAGGCAGAGGCCAAAAAAAGCAAGCTGGGAGCATTTTATTGATGAGATTTGGACAGTTTTGGAGGCTACATATGCAGATGCTCAAGAAAGATCGGCCCAGAGTAGTAAGAGCAATTCATAGAGATGACGATATGCTATTAACTACAGACAGAGAGAAGGTGGAGGCTTTCCTAAAGAGATTCATTTCACAGACAGACCACAATGATGTTGATAACAGAGATAGAGTTAGAGAAGATTTGGCAGCCATCTTAAAGAATAAACTTTGTGAAGACACCACACAGGTGGAAGATGTAAAACGTGTTCTGAAAAGGGCGAAAGACACTGCGCCAGGGCCCGATGGGGTTAGATATTCCCACATGAAAGACATGAGTGATGCAAACCTGTTGGAGATGACTGCTTGCTTCAACCAGAGCATTAGGACAGCTTCAGTACCAGAAGAATGGATGCACAGCTACCTGATTCCACTTCCTAAGCCTGGCAAGAATTATTGAACACTCAGCGGCTTTAGGATCATAACTCTACAAAACACCTTTTGTAAAGTGCTGGAGAAAATAGTGGCGGGTAAGCTACAAGAATTTTTGGAACAAGAGAAATCTCCTTCCACGAGGATTGGGATGTTACCGGCCGGGGAAGGACACATGGTCAAATGCAGCCACTTTTGCCTTTGACACCTTTAAAGGTTTCCAGAACAGACAGGAAACGGTGGTAGCGGCACTTGATTTAGGAGATGCTTACAACAGAGTCAGATACAGTATCTTGATGAAAGTGCTTATGGAGCAGGGAGTCTGTCTTTGGTTGGTGAATTGGATAGCATCCGTTTTGTATGCTCACCGGGTAGCTCTCCTCCTGGGTTCATTGACCTCTGAACCATATATTATAGCTCCAGGACTGCCACAGGGATCTGCAATTTCACCTGTACTATTCAATGTTTTTATGAGCAAGATTGCCTGCCTGGAAAAAGCTGGAGTTGGCAGAATATTGACATTTGTAGATGATGTTCTTGTATATAGAAAGGGGTGATTGGAATCAAATAGCTGACGAGTTACAGGCAACAGTAGATAAGGTGATCGACTGGTGTACAGAGAATGAGTGCTGTAATCAACTCCGGTACCTGGGTATCACCTTTGACAGAAGTTTGTCTTTCAGGGATCACACAGAGAGGGTTGTGACAAGGGATCAAAAAGGTCTAAATGCAATAACGATTATGGACATGGAGCAGAGAATGCTGTTCACACTTTACCAGCACTTAATCATCTCAGTGATTGATTATGGATTGGGGTTACTCACTGTCTCAAAGAGCTAGAGAAACTAGAGCGCATACAGAATGAAGCTATGCGGCTGATCCTGGGTTGCACAAGAGACACCCCGATTGTGTGCATGCGATACATCCTTGCATTTCCGACTATTGCAGATAGGCTAAAGGTGCTGCAGGCTAAGTCATACCTCAAAGTAGATGCAGACAAAGAAAACCCTCTGTATGAAGCTTTGGCTGCAGGTAAGGGTCAGAGGCTGTAAAGGGGAAAATCGTGGATTGCTCAAGCAGAAGACACAATAAGACAAGTATGCATGCTGGAGAACATTGTGCGAGGAAAGGAGTGGGTCAGAGTACCAGAGGACAAGTCTGACCTGCGTAGGGTTATGATCACTTTGGGCCCGGTGTGCAAAGAGTGGCCAGCCGGTGCTATGGAGGTTGAAGTCCAACAGTTGATTCATGACCATTCATGCCCAGGTGATCTGATTATCTATACAGATGGTTCGGTGTTGAAAGGAAAGAGAAGTACCTGGGGGTTTGTAACGAAATCCAATGGAAAATCTTTAGTGCAAGACAACCTAGCATATGACACCACAACATCTAGCATGAGAATGGAGGTGGAGGCAGTAACTGCAGCTCTCCGGTGGCTAAAGAACAAGATGCATACACAGGTCGTAATTGTAACAGACAAAAAAAGGTGAAGACAGGGATGCTCCGAGCAGAGTGGCTAGCTTCACTGGAAAGGTTGCGGTGGTGAGCATACTTTGGAGCTTTTCTTCAGGCAATGCCGGTGTAGTAAGTAATGAACAGGCAGACACATTGGCTGGATCTGCACCGCTGGGTGGTGAACTGATACATGACAAGGTAGATTTGGTCAAGGCCCTTTGGGAACAAGCAACGGAATCAGTAGAGAAAGAAGATTATTATGGCCGGGAGAGAATGAGGAACCTGGGTGTAACCAGAGGGTCTGACCGGCTCAATGCATTCAGAGGAAAGGCAAGACGGACATTTAACTAGGTTGTGACCGTTACCATCAGTATTGGAACTCTGCGCTGGCTGCTAAAGATAAGAACAGAGCACACATGGGAATGTCCCGAGTGCTGTGATGTCAATTCGTGACTCAACTCAACATGACTATATACTCCAAAAAATGTGTTTTAAAGAGAAAGCAACAACTGAAAGCCTAAACAAGTCAAGCTCCATAAAAATAGCTGCACCAGAAAAGCTATCATCTGTTTAAGGTTGACTGACAAATGTGGTTGTTTTAAGATAACAAATGTGGTCTGTTTAAGGTTGACTGACAAATGTGGTTGTTTTAAGATAACAAATGTGGTCTGTTTAAGGTTGACTGACAAATGTGGTTGTTTTAAGATAACAAATGTGGTCTGTTTGAGGTTGACTGACAAATGTGGTTGTTTTAAGATAACAAATGTGGTCTGTTTAAGGTTGACTGACAAATGTAGTGGCTTTAAGATAACAAATGTGGCTGTTTAAGGTTGACTGACAAATGTGGTTGTTTTAAGATAACAAATGTGGTCTGTTTAAGGTTGAATGACAAATGTGGTTGTTTTAAGATAAATGTGGTCTGTTTAAGGTTGACTGACAAATGTGGTTGTTTTAAGATAACAAATATGGTCTGTTTAAGGTTGACCGACAAATGTGGTTATTTTAAAATAACAAATGTGGTCTGTTTAAGGTTGACTGACAAATGTGGTTGTTTTAAGATAACAAATGTGGTCTGTTTAAGGTTGACTGACAAATGTAGTTGTTTAAAGATAACAAATGTGGTCTGTTTGAGGTTGACTGACAAATGTGGTTGTTTTAAGATAACAAATGTGGTCTGTTTAAGGTTGACTGACAAATGTGGTGGTTTTAAGATAACAAATGTGGTCTGTTTGAGGTTGACTGACAAATGTGGTTGTTTTAAGATAACAAATGTGGTCTTTTTAAGGTTGACTGACAAATGTGGTGGTTTTAAGATAACAAATGTGGTCTGTTTAAGGTTGACTGACAAATGTGGTTGTTTTAAGATAACAAATGTGGTCTGTTTAAGGTTGACTGACAAATGTGGTGGTTTTAAGATAACAAATGTGGTCTGTTTAAGGTTGACTGACAAATGTGGTTGTTTTAAGATAACAAATGTGGTCTGTTTAAGGTTGACTGACAAATGTGGTTGTTTTAAGATAACAAAAGTGGTCTTTTTAAGGTTGACTGACAAATGTGGTTGTTTTAAGATAACAAATGTGGTCTGTTTAAGGTTGACTGACAAATGTGGTTGTTTTAAGATAACAAATGTGGTCTGTTTAAGGTTGACTGACAAATCTGTTTTGTTTTAGGATGACTGACGAATTTAATGTGTTTTATATCTATGCTATAAATCACAAACTCCTTCTGCATTTTGTGTATTCATTATAAATAAAGTGTTAACTCCTCCCAAGCCATGACAAATACACAAGATAAACTTTTGTTTGCCATTAAGACTACAATGTTTAATTTAACAGTAACATTGGCAGCCCATGTTATTGCGCATTTCTTTATTTTTTGTGACAATTAGTAAAAAAAAGACTTTTACTGGAGTTATACAACTTTGAACATGTTTGCCCTTATACATCTCTGACATAAAAAAAAACAATTTAACATTACCTTCCATTGTATTTCCATTGAAAAGTTTTGTGTAAAAGAAGTGGTGTATTTCCATTGAAATGTTTTTTTGTAAGAGAAGTGGCATTGCATTTCAATTGAAATGTTTTGTGTAAGAGAAGTGGCGTTGTATTTCCATTTAAATGTTTTGTGTAAGAGAAGTGGCGTTGTATTTCCATTTAAATGTTTTGTGTAAGAGAAGTGGCGTTGTGTTTCCATTTAAATGTTTTGTGTAAGAGAAGTGGCGTTGTGTTTCCATTGAAATGTTTTGTGTAAGAGAAGTGTCGTTGTATTTCCATTGAAATGTTTTGTGTAAGAGAAGTGGCGTTGTATTTCCATTTAAATGTTTTGTGTAAGAGAAGTGGCGTTGTGTTTCCATTTAAATGTTTTGTGTAAGAGAAGGGGCGTTGTATTTCCATTTAAATGTTTTGTGTAAGAGAAGTGGCGTTGTATTTCCATTTAAATGTTTTGTGTAAGAGAAGTGGCGTTGTATTTCTATTTAAATGTTTTGTGTAAGAGAAGTGGCGTTGTGTTTCCATTGAAATGTTTCGTGTACAAGAGTGGCATTGTATTTCCATTGAAATGTTTTGTGTACAAGAAGTGGCGTTGTATTTCCATTGAAATGTTTTGTGTACAAGAAGTGGCGTTAGAGGAGGTTGCTGTTTTATCAGTCTTCTTTTTCTGTTTTCTTCTTCTGCGTTCGACATCAGTCACGCTAAACATTGAGTCTCGTCTGGGTCCCCCACAGCTTCTCTTGCAATGTGGCTCCCTTGGGCCAGATCCACAGTCTTTGCTGGGAGAGGTAAGGGCAGTACTGTAGTATGTGCCCAGGGGTCTGTCTTTCTGCTCCACAATCACAGGCAGCAGATTCTTTTTTGCCTATCCTGTGCAGGTGTGTTCAAAGATCACAGTGTCCAGTCCGAAGTCTAAAAGTTGATGTTTGTTCTTGCCTATTGAGTTTGTTAATGCTGTTACTCTCTGTTCTATAATCTCCATTCTGCCTTCTCCACCCACGCTTTAAAGACTGCTGGTCTCTACCTGCTGGTAGAGAAAGAATTTCTGCTCTACTGCTAGGGGGTTTAATGTATATTCCACAGTCCTCCTTTCTGACTGCATCTGTAGCAGAGCAGTCATTGAAAACCCGAGGCCAAGTACTGTTGGGATACTTCTCGTTAAGCATAGCAAGAGCCAGGTTTTTTTGTGGTGTCTTCATCTGGGCATCTTTTGAAGTGATTCCTGGTACCTTTAGGATTACATTTGCCTTCTCTGGGTTGCTTGTCCGTGGTTCTGGCCTAAGCTTTTCGCACAGTGCTAAATCTCTTTCAAGCAGATCTTGGTGCTGTCTGTACAGTTCTCTAGCAAGGTGGTTCAGTCTGTTTTTTTTTTCTCTCTTGAAATTTAAAATGCAGTAGGTGACTAAAGTCTTTGGGGAGAACTGCCAACATGCTGACTTTTAATCCTAAGTGACGCCTCGAGTCAGTGCCCCATCGCTCCTAAGGGGTGCCGAAGTGGCGATGGTGTTAACTATGGGAAGAACTTTTCTAGGATGCTCCTACCACTCTACCTCAAGCCACAACTTAGGGGTCAGCCCCCATAAACTGTACAAATGTATTTGCTACAGAAAATTCTTAGAATTAGACAGGCACTGAAATTTGACACTGGCTGGTTTAGAAAACGAAGGCATCTAAGATCAACTTAAAGACCGAAGGCTTATGTTGTGCTCACAGTTCTTCATATACTACTATTTTCTACTACACATATGGCTGCCATGATGATCAAGATGACAATAAAACATTTAGTTTTCCTTCACTATCCCAGGCGAAACCAGGCAGTTAAATTTAGTTTATTATATAAGTTTGATAAGACAAACAAGGTTATGTGATTTGAACCTGTAGGATTTGCATGCAAACAGTAACTCTTAGTCACCGATGTCAATCTATCAATCTTAGAGGGGGACAAGAACAAATGTGTAGCAGCTTAGTGTGTATATTCATAGATAAATTCTGCACAACCTTTAAAAACACTAGAGAGTAACCAGTCTGTTACTGTGTCCACACAGCTGAACCTGATTTCCAGTAAGGCAGAGAGAAACCTAGGTAGCTGCAGTAGTGTCTAGGACACTTGCCTGCTAGCCCAGTGGGCATGTGACTGAATCCTGCAGGAATGTTTTAACAAGTAGCCTGTGCTCCCAAGTTAACCTAGCTTAAATCCGGTTGAAGGAATTGTTCTAGGAAATAAATACTGACCACACCGCCTGTTGACCGCTGACTGGTCCAGAAATATACAGAACTAGCATCACCTGAAAGCAGTTCAAGACAGGGAGATTGCTGCTTGCCCACAACTACCTCAGATCATCCACAAAATCAAATCAAACCTTTGTTTTATTTTAAACAAGTTACAATCTATCAAAAATACCAACCTTGAGATGATGATGTGTAGTATACAGACGGCCACAGTCTTCATACATGCACTTAAATGCCTTGTCCCCTATGACAAGATTTCTCTCTGAAGATTTGTCCGATGCTTCCAGTATTGTCTGTAACATGATGAACTTTCTTTCAGAATGACAAAGCCATATGTTTATCTGTAATGTCGTGCCTAATCAATGCATACAGACACTGTAGCTCTAGATATCTTCTTGACAGTAAAATATCCCCACCCCAGCAAACTCACAACAAGAGCGATAATTCAGTATGTGCAAGCTGTCTTGTCCAGACCCAGTTTGCCAAAGAAACATCAAGCAGCAGTGAACAGATGATCCCACCCTACCTGGTTAGTCAGCTGGTCAAGGCTGAGACTTGAAGCGTCCAGCTGTGAGGCACTGGTGAACAAGGTTTCATGACTACTGTGAGAAAGAAAAGCTGTGGAACCATCCTCTAGCTGTATGGCATGCAGACCTTCATTCACTGAAACAAACAATATTGTAGTTATATCTTGTTACAAAATGACATTTCAAATAAATACTCAACATTCAGTGTATCTAAGACTAGTTAACTGCAACTGAATTATAATTTCATTTGGTATAATTCACATGGAAATGAAGAAAGGTAGTGAAAAAGTACCTGAAAACGTCACTGTGAAAATTTCAGTTCTGAAAATGATATTCACTGAACATGTTACTGCCAAACAAGAGTCAGTATGACCTTGAACGGCATCAATACACATTTGAGCTTGGGGTGTAACTGCAGCAATAAGGCTGTTCAGGTCATTGGGGAAAATGTCATCCAGTGAGCTTCTAGGTTTTCCTCCTGGGCAATGAGTGGGACTGATCAGTATTGTTAAGAATTGTTCTTTATAAAAGTTTCAAGCCTTTTTTCCACTGAATTCAGAACAAGGAGGCAGAGAGAACTATGTGACGTTACTGGGAACCAAATGTCTCATAAAGTTTGCCAACGTACACCATCATGGACACAAATAAATTCAGCATCAAGCGGTCTCATGAGCGGTCTGATGAGCCTGCCCAAATATCTCCTCCCATTTACAATCACTATCTCAATATGCAAGGGGACTGCGTGGTCTTGAGGTACGGTGTCCGCCTCGTGTGCTAGAGGTCCCGGTAGGGGCTGTGATCTTTTTCATGTGGACTTCTAGTAGTTTCCCCTGGTCAGTGGGTAGTGAGATCGGATGCCTGTTTGTATAGTTAGGCACATAAAAAATCCCTTGGCAGTTGGAAACAAAACAGAGTAGCCCAACAGAGCTGCCCAAGTAAAATTTGGAGTTGAAAATCTACCCAAAATATTTTCAGGATCCTCGCCGGTGCACTGCACTGAGCTACTTCAGACTCAGACTTGAATTAGAAGTAGAACGGAGCACTTATGGGTTATTACCCATTAGTAGTTATTATATTCCCTATGGGTTATTACCCATTAGTAGTTATTATATTCCCTGTGGGTTATTACCCATTAGTAGTTATTATATTCCCTATGGGTTATTACCCATTAGTAGTTATTATATTCCCTGTGGGTTATTACCCATTAGTAGTTATTATATTCCCTGTGGGTTATTACCCGTGTGCAGTGATGTTAATCCGTTGTTGAAACCTTCAGTCTTAATGTGCAAGTCAGCAAGAACAACTGTCCAGATGACTGACCAAACCATCAGACTGGTGGCTCTGTGACTCTCATTTTCTGCAGTAGGACAATCAGTAAACCTCTCTCTCTAAACCATGTCTGTCATTTTCTGCAGTAGGACAATCAGTAAACCTCTCTCTCTAAACCATGTCCGTCATTTTCTGCAGTATGACAATCAGTAAACCTCTCTCTCTAAACCATGTCTGTCATTTTCTGCAGTATGACAATCAGTAAACCTCTCTCTCTAAACCATGTCTGTCATTTTCTGCAGTATGACAATCAGTAAACCTCTCTCTCTAAACCATGTCTGTCATTTTCTGTAGTAGGACAATCAGTAAACCTCTCTCTCTAAACCATGTCTGTCATTTTCTGCAGTAGGACAATCAGTAAACCTCTCTCTCTAAACCATGTCTGTCATTTTCTGCAGTAGGACAATGAGTAAACCTCTCTCTCTAAACCATGTCTGTCATTTTCTGCAGTAGGACAATCAGTAAACCTCTCTCTCTAAACCATGTCTGTCATTTTCTGCAGTAAGACAATCAGTAAACCTCTCTCTCTAAACCATGTCTGTCATTTTTTGCAGTAGGACAATCAGTAAACCTCTCTCTCTAAACCATGTCTGTCATTTTCTGTAGTAGGACAATCAGTAAACCTCTCTCCGCCGTGTCTGTCATTTTCTGCAGTAGGACAATCAGTAAGCCGCTCTGCACCTTATCTGTCATTTTCTGCAGTAGGACAATCAGTAAGCCGCTCTGCACCATATCTGTCATTTTCTGTAGTAGGACAATCAGTAAGCCTCTCTCCACCATGTCTGTCATTTTTTGCAGTTGGACAATCAGTAAACCTCTCTCCGCCATATCTGTCATTTTCTGCAGTAGGACAATCAGTAAGCCTCTCTCTCTAAACCATGTCTGTCATTTTCTGTAGTAGGACAATTGGTAAACCTCTCTCCACCATATCTGTCATTTTCTGTAGTAGGACAATCAGTAAGCCTCTCTCCACCATGTCTGTCATTTTCTGCAGTTGGACAATCAGTAAGCCTCTGTCCACCATATCTGTCATTTTCTGCAGTAGGACAATCAGTAAGCCTCTCTCCACCATGTCTGTCATTTTCTGCAGTAGGACAATCAGTAAGCCTCTCTCTCTAAACCATGTCTGTCATTTTTTGCAGTAGGACAATCAGTAAGCTTCTCTCCGGCATGTCTGTCATTTTCTGCAGTAGGACAATCAGTAGGTCTCTCTCTCCTCTCTAAACCTGTCTGTCATTTTCTGCAGTAGGACAATCAGTAAACCTCTCTCCGCCATGTTTTTTATTTTCTCTAGTAGGACAATTGGTAAACCTCTCTACGCCATGTTTGTCATTTTCCCTAGTAGGACAATTGGTAAACCTCTCTCCACCATGTCTGTCATTTTCTCTAGTAGGACAATTGGTAAACTTCTCTCCGGCATGTCTGTCATTTTCTGCAGTAGGACAATCAGTAGGTCTCTCTCTCCTCTCTAAACCTGTCTGTCATTTTCTGCAGTAGGACAATCAGTAAACCTCTCTCCGCCATGTTTTTTATTTTCTCTAGTAGGACAATTGGTAAACCTCTCTACGCCATGTTTGTCATTTTCCCTAGTAGGACAATTGGTAAACCTCTCTCCACCATGTCTGTCATTTTCTCTAGTAGGACAATTGGTAAACCTCTCTACGCCAAGTCTGTCATTTTCTGTAGTAGGACAATCAGTAAACCTTTCTCTGACATGTCTTTCATTTCTGCATCAGGACAGAAATGAAATGTTTACTTACTATGCTAGTCAGGTGTAACGACAAAAGATGGACTTATGATATCAAGAGGAGAGTCGGCACAGAACCATTGCTGTGAAGACTAGGAATAAAGACTATGATAATATCAAGATGAAGACAATAATGATAGTGTGTACAACCCAGGTGAGTCTCAGTGCAATGTTGGAGATCTACTAGTCAGCTGTTACTGTGAGTATGGCAACTCACTAACAACACACACACAAAGAACTATGTAAGAGACAACATGAATGAATCAGGAGCAATATAGCACTGTACTCACAATCTTCTGTGGGTGCTGCCTGTAATAAAGCTGTAGTGCCATCTTCTAGTTTAATGGTCTGCCCTTCAACAAACTTGGACAACACATGTTCATCTCCAGCTGTCCAAACAGGATCACACAAGGACATGTCAATCGCTTCATTGATTGCTTATCAGTTACACTCTGATGTGCTTAATTAATACAGAAATAGCCAAATGTGTTGTCCCTTTCCTTATTTTAAATTCTAAAACAAAGCTATTAATAGCATATGGTGGACACCAGTTTAACACCCAAGAAAACAAAGTTTCAGACAAGTAATCAAAACTGGCAGTTTGTTCATGTCGTAGCAAAGGTTCCTGTCTCTATTTGTGCATGTCGTAGCAAAGGTTCCTGTCTCCATTTGTGCATGTCGTAGCAAAGGTTCCCGTCTCCATTTGTGCATGTCGTAGCAAAGGTTCCTGTCTCCATTTGTGCATGTCGTAGCAAAGGTTCCTGTCTCTATTTGTGCATGTCGTAGCAAAGGTTCCTGTCTCCATTTGTGCATGTCGTAGCAAAGGTTCCTGTCTCCATTTGTGCATGTCGTAGCAAAAGTTCCTGTCTCCATTTGTGCATGTCGTAGCAAAGGTTCCTGTCTCCATTTGTGCATGTCGTAGCAAAGGTTCCTGTCTCCATTTGTGCATGTCGTAGCAAAAGTTCCTGTCTCCATTTGTGCATGTCGTAGCAAAGGTTCCTGTTTCCATTTGTGCATGTCGTAGCAAAGGTTCCTGTCTCCTTTTGTGCATGTCGTAGCAAAGGTTCCTGTCTCCATTTGTGCATGTCGTAGCAAAGGTTCCTGTCTCTATTTGTGCATGTTATAGCAAAGGTTCCTGTCTCCATTTGTGCATGTCGTAGCAAAGGTTCCTGTCTCTATTTGTGCATGTTATAGCAAAGGTTCCTGTCTCCATTTGTGCATGTCGTAGCAAAGTTTCCTGTCTCCATTTGTGCATGTCGTAGCAAAGGTTCCTGTCTCCATTTGTGCATGTCATAGCAAAGGTTCCTGCCTCAAGATTAATGTTTGACCCCCCATCTTGAGAAGCCTAAATCTAGCTAATTCTGGTTGTCACACATTCCCTTAAATGCCTTGATAAGTGAGCCATTCTCGAGCTGTGTAGCTGACCTCATAGCCTCAATGTCAGAGGTCACAGCAGGAGTTACCTGATATATACACACACATACAACCACATATATGAGTTGAGTTGAGTCAAGAATTGACATCACAGCACTCGGGGCATTCCCATGAGTGCTCCGTCCTCATCTTCAGCTTGCCACTCTGCTTGAAGCATCCCTGTCTTCACCGTTCTCAGCATGGCTTTAGAGTCTGTTACAATTACGACATGTATATGCATCTTGTTCTCTAGCCACTGCAGTGCTGCAGGTACCATCTCCACCTCCATTCTCATGCTAGATGTTGTGATGTCCTATGCTAGGCTGTCTTGCACTCAAAATTTTCCATTGGCTTTAGATATGAACCCCCAGGCACTTCATTTATAAAGGCCCCCTACAGGATGTATGTCATTTAATGCTTCCCTCTGTTAATTTTTATTGATTACTTCTTCTACACATATTTTTTTTAATATAAGTTATAGATAAATACACTTTTTAACTATTTTATTAGCATCCTGCGTAAAACTGTTTTATTATTTTTTTGTTATTTTTCAAAGAGAATTCATGTAGGTTCATGACTTGTGTGTGTGTGTGTGTGTGTGTGTGTGTGTGTGGGGGGGGGGGTGTTTCCGGGAGCGAAAGGGTTAATGTGGTTTTCTAGAATCAGTGTTCCTGATCTACACCTGCAGTGGAGTGAGATATTTCTACTACATCAAACAACAACAGAGGAATATATCAATAAGATAGTAGCTGCCAGTGGCATACTGACACACCTGCAGTGCAGTGAGATATTTCTACTACATCAAACAACAACAGAGGAATATATCAATAAGATAGTAGCTGCCAGTGACATACTGACACACCTGCAGTGAAGTGAGATGTTTCTACTACATCAAACAACAACAGAGGAATATATCAATTAGATAGTAGCTGCCAGTGACATACTGACACACCTGCAGTGGAGTGAGATATTTCTACTACATCAAACAACAACAGAGGAATATATCAATAAGATAGTAGCTGCCAGTGACATACTGACACACCTGCAGTGGAGTGAGATGTTTCTACTACATCAAACAACAACAGAGGAATATATCAATAAGATAGTAGCTGCCAGTGACATACTGACACACCTGCAGTGGAGTGAGATGTTTCTACTACGTCAAACAACAGAGGAATATATCAATTAGATAGTAGCTGCCAGTGACATACTGACACACCTGCAGTGGAGTGAGATATTTCTACTACATCAAACAACAACAGTGGAATATATCAATAAGATAGTAGCTGCCAGTGACATACTGACACACCTGCAGTGGAGTGAGATGTTTCTACTACATCAAACAACAACAGAGGAATATATCAATAAGATAGTAGCTGCCAGTGACATACTGACACACCTGCAGTGGAGTGAGATATTTCTACTACGTCAAACAACAACAGAGGAATATATCAATAAGATAGTAGCTGCCAGTGACATACTGACACACCTGCAGTGGAGTGAGATGTTTCTACTACATCAAACAACAACAGAGGAATATATCAATAAGATAGTAGCTGCCAGTGACATACTGACACACCTGCAGTGGAGTGAGATGTTTCTACTACGTCAAACAACAGAGGAATATATCAATTAGATAGTAGCTGCCAGTGACATACTGACACACCTGCAGTGGAGTGAGATATTTCTACTACATCAAACAACAACAGAGGAATATATCAATAAGATAGTAGCTGCCAGTGACATACTGACACACCTGCAGTGGAGTGAGATGTTTCTACTACATCAAACAACAACAGAGGAATATATCAATTAGATAGTAGCTGCCAGTGACATACTGACACACCTGCAGTGGAGTGAGATATTTCTACTACATCAAACAACAACAGAGGAATATATTAATTAGATAGTAGCTGCCAGTGACATACTGACACACCTGCAGTGGAGTGAGATGTTTCTACTACGTCAAACAACAGAGGAATATATTAATTAGATAGTAGCTGCCAGTGACATACTGACACACCTGCAGTGGAGTGAGATATTTCTACTACATCAAACAACAACAGAGGAATATATCAATTAGATAGTAGCTGCCAGTGGCATACTGACACACCTGAGTTCAGCCACTGAATCTGTGCAATCTCAGTCACCTAAATGTGAGGGTAAGGGTTTTTACCTGAGCACCTCCAGCCTTCATTCACAACTTTCACCCACCAGGCCCCCTTGGTGGAGCATTTTTGATAATTATGTTTAAACACTCACTAAAATTCTACTGTTATATGAGCTATATTTTTAAATCTACAACAGTAGCAAATGAAGAACATACAAATAGTACATGCCCACACACAGAGCAGTTTATCCATAGGTGTGCACAGTGGCAATGTTTATTCAATTGTGAATACAATCACATTGGTAAAGTGCATACATTCTGACAACTATAAGTTAGATTGTATCCAACATGTTGAACACACTTTACACAGTGCTCTATTAAAATATTTACAATCAAGTTCATGAGAATTCCCACCTAGGTGATGTGACTGTATATACAGATGGCTCTGTGTTGAGGGGCAGACTAAGTGCATGGGGGTTCACATCGAAGGCGAATGGACGACGCTAGGTGCAACAAAGCCTGGCATATATCACAACGTCTAGTTAGAGAATAGAGGTGGAGGCAGTCACTGCTACCATCCACTGGCTTGAGAATCAGCTGTACATACATGTCGTGATTGTAAATGACTCACAGAGCATGTTGAGAACAATGGATACAGGCATGCTCCGTGCACAGCGGGCAAGCATCATTTCAAATGTCCTAGGTAGTTAGCATCATTTGGATATTTTCTCCGGGTGATGTTGGTGTGTTAGGAAATAAGCAGGCAGATAGAATGGCTAGTTCTGCACCACTTGTTGTGAACTGATGTTTAGCAAGCTGGATGTCGTGAGGGCCCTCTGAGAGTGAGTGAACAGTGCCGAGGAACAGATAGATCATTACGGTCTGAGGAGAATGGCACTGTGAGGAGTTACAAGACCTAGCCAAAGCTCATGGGAAAGGCGAGATGGATATGCAATTAGATAGTTACTGGCACCATTGGAATTTTAACTCTTCTCTTGCTGCTGAAGATGGGGACGGAGCGCTTATGGGGGTGTCCTGAGTGCTGTGATGTTGATTCCTAATTCAATATTTAACAATCAAGTTAAAACTATAGGGTAAAAACAGAATACACTGTATCTAGGTTGTAAAGCCATATGCCTCATGGGCAGAAAGTTGTAGGCTCTTTGGGAATCATTGCTAGAGCTACGGAGGCTGTGCATCGTTCTCGGGGGGTAGCTAACCATTGTGCAGAGACAGATCGAGCCGTGTGGGGTGAGACCCAGTGCAAATAAGTGGATATTTTGTAATTTAAACCTCATTTAATCATGAACTTATAACGTGCTTACTTAAAACTTGTGACCCGGTGGCCATTTGTATATATTAATTACGTCAAATCTGCAAAATATGTATTTAAGATGCAGACAGAGATAGGCCTCACTGCCCTGATTGCAAGGATATATAGTTGCTAAGGGATTCATTAGGAAACAAAATAGTTATTGCAATGAAATACAAATATTTATTCATTTAAACATTTTATTTTACTGGCAGGCAGCTCAGTATCCATCTGTTATCAGCCTACACTATAATTTGTCTATGGTGGTATCCATCACTAAAATACTTACATCCCCACTTAGAACTGACCTACAGACTTCACTGATGTATCAATGGATTGGATATTTTAATCTCTATCAAGCTGTGATTTTGGTCATATCAAGTGCCACAATGGATTAGAAAGAAATTATAGATGGCAAAGTACTAGGAAGGAAGGGCAGGGGTCGACTGACACGAAGATGGGCAGAGGAATTAAGTAACTCCTTAAGTATGAAAGTACATGAGGCAGGAGAGCTTACGAGAGACAGAGTTTCTTTCAGGCAGACCGTGATGAGAAATGACCTGCTACATGATGATGATCTAGCTGTGATAGTTTGATAGGTAAAATGCCAATAGATAAAATGTGACTAGCATCCCTGATATAACTATAGCAGGAGGATCACCCATTATGCCAGAAACTGCTTTCTAGGCCAGCTGTGTTCATTGTCATCTATTTCCTTTGTCTCATCATCATCATCAGGTGCCTTGCCGACTGGCCTGGGCTATCATGCCTCTCCATAATATGCGATCTCCTGCAGCATGTTTTAGTTCGTGTGTCGACACACCTCCATCTATGCAACAAGACTGTCAAGCATCTTCTCTCGTTGTCTTCCTCTATCCCTTTTTCCACAGATCTTTCCAGTGGTCACAACATGTTCTATTTTCCGTCTTCTCATAACATGGCCGAAAAATGATGACTGTCTCCTTCTGATGTCTGTGATAAGTTGTCTTTGGGCTCCTGCCTCTTTCAAAACCTCTTGGTTACTCTTTTTGGCTGTCGAAGGTATTCTAAGCATTCCTCTGTAAAACCGCATCTCTTAGGCCTCTAAAATTGTTTGGCCTGCCTACCGATTGTCCAGGATTCACAGCCATATGTTAAAACTGGATGTATGTAGCAAGCAAGAATTTTGTTTTCTAACTCTCAATGACAAGGATATTGTCGCGTGCGAATGTGCACCAGAACGCACCAGTACGGAGTGAGCAAATAAGACGTCAAAACAATACGTAACGTTGTTATGATTTATTGTTGTCAAAGCAGTTGATGTTTATAGTCCGAAGGAGACGGACGTGGGAATCCTTGAGGACGCTTTACCCCGGGATCCCACGGAAGCAAACGTTATATAAAGTTGGATCCTTGAGGACGTTTTATCCCGGCTTGGCCCCCATTGATACGTGCGGTCCTTCATTGTGACGTGCTGAGGCGCTTCAAGCTGATGTGTGTGTATTCAAGTGTTCTTATTTGCTCTCTCGTACTGGTGCTGTTTGCCGCGTGACTCCAGTTTTCCGACCGAGACTACGACAAGCCCTAGTGCTCGGTCGTCCTGGGGAGGGGGGAAAAGCTGTCGCGTGCGAATGTGCACCAGAACGCACCAGTACGGAGTGAGCAAATAAGACGTCAAAACAATACGTAACGTTGTTATGATTTATTGTTGTCAAAGCAGTTGATGTTTATAGTCCGAAGGAGACGGACGTGGGAATCCTTGAGGACGCTTTACCCCGGGATCCCACGGAAGCAAACGTTATATAAAGTTGGATCCTTGAGGACGTTTTACCCCGGGATTCCAAGATAGATCTCAGCAGGAAGCTGGTGAGCACTACATTCTCGGCAGTATGCCGGTATACTTTCATTGCTTAATTCGGACTTGTCCGAGGACCAAGATGATTGTCATGATCTCAAGGTCGGACTGCGACCTATCGTGAGGACATATCAATACATGGATGTACGAGTGAGCTTTGGTTGAACGAGTTGATTATTGATTGCATATGTATTTCTCCTTGTATTGCTGATTGTATATATCAATACAACCGTTGGAACTTAACGCATAGCGTTCGAGCTCTACCTTTTGAAAGCATTGAAGTAACTACTGTTTTACCCCTACTTGGCCTATTTCATCTTGGTACCACACACATCAGCTTGAAGCGCCTCAGCACGTCACAATGAAGGACCGCACGTATCAGATATATTGCACAAGATGTTTTTCATTTGTCTAACTAGTGTATAAAATAAACATGCTTCCCTGCACTCTCACTTAGGTTTTCATTTATGACAATAGCTTCTTCTAATTTGTTTACAATGTTATATACATTTCTAATACTATTATAAACAAGTTATTCTATAAATGGTGATACTTTGGCATGCATAAGACAAGCAATGAAGCCACAGGTATTATTTAGAAAATATACTCAACTGTACTAGACTCAGCTGTACTTGACTCAACTGTACCAGACTTAACTTTGTAAACAAATACTGTACACAACAGTATTGACAAAAAGCTGCTGCACACGGCTCTTTCCAATGGTGAATAATTCTGGACTCTCAGCAAGAAGACCCATGTCCATGTCGGAATTCTCACTGCAGTTATGGATTTGTTTCACTTGCGGCTAAACATGCCATCCCAATCTGCACAGCCCACAGTGACTGCTCTAGCCATGCAGCCATACATCCTCGGGCACAAAGACTCCGCTGCCTACACAGTGAGTGCCCTAGCCATGCAGCCATACATCCTCGGGCACAAAGACTCCGCTGCCTACACAGTGACTGTCCTAGCCATGCAGCCATACATCCTCGGGCACAAAGACTCTGCTTCCTACACAGTGACTGCCCTAGCCATGCAGCCATAAATCCTCGGGCACAAAGACGCCCCTGTCTACACAGTGAGTGCCCTAGCCATGCAGCAATACATCCTCGGGCACAAAGACTCCGCTGCCTACACAGTGAGTGCCCTAGCCATGCAGCCATGAATCCTCGGGCACAAAGACTCCGCTGTCTACACAGTGAGTGCCCTAGCCATGCAGCCATAAATCCTCGGGCACAAAGACTCTGCTGCTTGCACAGTGACTGCTCTAGCCATGCAGCCATACATCCTCGGGTACAAAGACTCTGCTGCCTGCACAGTGAGTGCCCTAGCCATGCAGCCATAAATCCTTGGGCACAAAGACTCCGCTGCCTACACAGCAACAGTGCAATACATGTAATGATATGTTTTTATGATTCTGTCATTTTCATGTTGAAAGCGAGGGGCAATAACTTGGACAAGAGTAATTCAACAAACTTACCCATGTTGTGTTTGTTGGTGTGAAAGAGAGTTGTTCCATCAGCGAGTGTCACAGCCTGCACTGTCTGTGCAATATCTTCAGCCTCTACTGACCCCATCAGACTGGACATAGAAAACTTAATTGTTCCCATCTGAGTATTGGTAGCCACAACATTTCCCTAGGGAAACATCATATACGATCACTATAACAAAACAGCCACAACAATTCCCTAGGGAAACATCATATACGCTCACTATAACAAAACAGTCTATATTCTTTATTCATATCATGAGGATAAAACTTACAAGTTGGAGGGAAAGAAGACGTTGGACAGTTTGACATGGGAGATCATCTGTGTCAGAAATGACTGAAAATCCACAGAAGGCTGTGGCTTATGATTTTCAACACCAAATGCATGTATTAAATGGAGAAGATACACAACAACATCTATGCACTTCCATCAAGTGATAACTCCACCCTTTCTACCCAACAACATCTATGCACTTCCATCAAGTGATAACTCCACCCTTTCTACCCAACAACATCTATGCACTTCCATCAAGTGATAACTCCACCCTTTCTACCCAACAACATCTATGCACTTCCATCAAGTGATAACTCCAGCCTGACTTTCTATCACCTGTTGACTGAGTGTCTGAGTAGCACAGCCTGTGTCCAAGTATAAAGTATGTGTTAATCTACTGTTTACTTGTTTCCAGTATAATGTATATGTTCATCAACTGTTTACTTGTTTCCAGTATTATGTATGTGTTCATCAACTGTTTCTTTGTTTCAAGTATTATGTATGTGTTCATCTACTGTTTGCTTGTTTCCAGTATTATGTATGTGTTCAGCTACTGTTTACTTGTTTCCAGTATAATGTATGTGTTCATCTACTGTTTACTTGTTTCCAGTATTATGTATGTGTTCATCTACTGTTTACTTGTTTCCAGTATAATGAATGTGTTCATCAACTGTTTCTTTGTTCCAAGTATTATGTATGTGTTCATCTACTGTTTACTTGTTTCCAGTATTATGTATGTGTTCATCAGCTGTTTCTTTGTTCCAAGTATTATGTATGTGTTCATCTACTGGTTCTCTGTTCCAAGTATTATGTATGTGTTCATCTACTGTTTACTTGTTTCCAGTATTATGTATGTGTTCATCTACTGTTTACTTGTTTCCAGTATAATGTATGTGTTCATCTACTGTTTCTTTGTTCCAAGTATTATGTATGTGTTCATCTACTGTTTCTTTGTTCCAAGTATTATTTATGTGTTCATCAACTTTTTCTTTGTTCCAAGTATTTTGTATGTGTTCATCAACTGTTTCTTTGTTTTAAGTATTATGTATGTGTTCATCTACTGTTTACTTGTTTCCAGTATAATGTATGTGTTCATCTACTGTTTCTTTGTTCCAAGTATTATGTATGTGTTCATCTACTGTTTCTTTGTTCCAAGTATTATGTATGTGTTCATCTACTGTTTACTTGTTTCCAGTATAATGTATGTGTTCATCAACTGTTTCTTTGTTCCAAGTATTATGTATGTGTACATCTACTGTTTCTTTGTTCCAAGTATTATGTATGTGTTCATCTACTGTTTACTTGTTTCCAGTATAATGTATGTGTTCATCAACTGTTTCTTTGTTCCAAGTATTATGTATGTGTTCATCTACTGTTTCTTTGTTCCAAGTATTATGTATGTGTTCATCTACTGTTTACTTGTTTCCAGTATAATGTATGTGTTCATCAACTGTTTCTTTGTTTCAAGTATTATGTATGTGTTCATCTACTGTTTACTTGTTTCCAGTTTAATGTATGTGTTCATCAGCTGTTTCTTTGTTCCAAGTATTATGTATGTGTTCATCTACTGTTTCTCTGTTCCAAGTATTATGTATGTGTTCATCTACTGTTTCTCTATTCAAAGTATTATGTATGTATTCATCTACTGTTTACTTGTTTCCAGTATTATGTATGTGTTCATCTACTGTTTACTTGTTTCCAGTATAATGTATGTGTTCATCTACTGTTTCTTTGTTCCCAGTATTATGTATGTGTTCATCTACTGTTTCTTCATTCCAAGTATTATGTATGTGTTCATCTACTGTTTACTTGTTTCCAGTATAATGTATGTGTTCATCAACTGTTTCTTTGTTCCAAGTATTATGTATGTGTTCATCTACTGTTTACTTGTTTCCAGTATAATGTATGTGTTCATCAACTGTTTCTCTGTTCCAAGTACTATGTATGTGTTCATCTACTGTTTACTTGTTTCAAGTATTATGTATGTGTTCATCTACTGTTTCTTTGTTCCAAGTATTATGTATGTGTTCATCTACTGTTTCTTTGTTCCAAGTATTTTGTATGTGTTCATCAACTGTTTCTTTGTTCCAAGTATTATGTATGTGTTCATCTACTGTTTACTTGTTTCCAGTATAATGTATGTGTTCATCAACTGTTTCTTTGTTCCAAGTATTATGTATGTGTTCATCTACTGTTTACTTGTTTCCAGTATAATGTATGTGTTCATCAACTGTTTCTCTGTTCCAAGTACTATGTATGTGTTCATCTACTGTTTACTTGTTTCCAGTATTATGTATGTGTTCATCTACTGTTTCTTTGTTCCAAGTATTATGTATGTGTTCATCTACTGTTTCTTTGTTCCAAGTATTTTGTATGTGTTCATCAACTGTTTCTTTGTTCCAAGTATTATGTATATGTTCATCTACTGTTTACTTGTTTCCAGTATAATGTATGTGTTCATCAACTGTTTCTTTGTTCCAAGTATTATGTATGTGTTCATCTACTGTTTACTTGTTTCCAGTATTATGTATGTGTTCATCAACTGTTTCTTTGTTCCAAGTATTATGTATGTGTTCATCTACTGTTTACTTGTTTCCAGTATTATGTATGTGTTCATCAACTGTTTCTTTGTTCCAAGTATTATAAATGTGTTCATCTACTGTTTACTTGTTTCCAGTATTATGTATGTGTTCATCTACTGTTTCTCTGTTTCCAGTATTATGTATGTGTTCATCTACTGTTTCTTTGTTCCAAGTATTATATATGTGTTCATCAACTGTTTCTTTGTACCAAGTATTATAAATGTGTTCATCAACGGTAACTCTGTTTCCAGTATAATGTATGTGTTTATCAGCTGTTTCTTTGTTCCAGGTACATGCTGTACATGTTCATCAACTGTTTAAATTTTCCAAGTATTTCTTTCATTTTGTTTTGGCAGAAATAACATGTTTCTGATATCTGTTAAATCTGGACTCTCGGTGATATACAACAGCAATGATGTCCTGTCCAACTGTCTCATCAGAATATGTACAAAGTGGACACTCGAGGCTGTGCTGCAGTTGGAGTTTGTTCATGTGCATGTTCAATGTGTTGTGTTCAAAGTTGGATAATGGTGCTCTGGTCCCTGCTAGTCAGATGTCTTTATGCTGCCTTTGGAGTAAAGACTTAGGACACATTCTTATACTTGTTAGTGTGTCTTCACTCCTCTCCCCCTCCCCCTTTTCCCCCAGTTTGTATGTCTTCACTCCTCTATCCCTCCCCCTTTTCCCCCAGTTTGTATGTCTTCACTCCTCTCCCCTCCCCCTTTTCCCCCAGTTAGTGTGTCTTCACTCCTCTCCCCCTCCCCCTTTTCCCCCAGTTTGTATGTCTTCACTCCTCTCCCCCTTTTCCCCCAGTTTGGCTGTTAAACAATGTGTGTGCTAAATTTATTCAATTGAGACCATGTTTTTTTAAAAAAAAGCCAGAAATGAAGACAGGCTTACATCTGTGGTGCGCATTAGAAGTCTTATCACATGATCAGCTGATACAGGAACTGCTAAATGTCCATCTGCATCTGTTGTCAGCAGTATCCCTTCATGTCCGTCTGCAACCAGGTGCCCCTCCTCTGTAGTTAGAACAGTCCTGTCATCCACAGATGGCTGCAACAATGTTACCAATCTCTTATTTACTCAATACCCAGAAATGATTAACCTGAATGTATTTTAATGTAAACAATTTGAACTATTCTAAAGCAGTATTTTCCAAACTATTATTCAGACATCCAAGCATTTGTAAATTAAAATGAGCCAACAGCGGATGAGTGAGCATCTGTCCAGATGTGATTTTATAGTAGAATGATGAGAGCACCATGGACAGACACAAAGAGTAATGAAGCTTCTTTAAATTAATTCATTATGAGAACTAGCCACCTATACCAGAAGAGACAATCTACGTTGTTTTGGGCATGTCATAAGTGGGGACAACTGGGGTATCTCACGACCACAGGATGTTAAGACAGTCTGGAGCCATGTCATGACCACAGGATGTTTAGACAGTCTGGAGCCATGTCATGACCACAGGATGTTTAGACAGTCTGGAGCCATGTCATGACCACAGGATGTTTAGACAGTCTGGAGCCATGCCATGACCACAGGATGTTTAGACAGTCTGGAGCCATGCCATGACCACAGGATGTTTAGACAGTCTGGAGCCATGTCATGACCACAGGATGTTTAGACAGTCTGGAGCCATGCCATGACCACAGGATGTTTAGAAAGTCTGGAGCCATGTCATGTCCACAGGATGTTTAGACAGTCTGGAGCCATGTCATGACCATAGGACGTTTAGACAGTCTGGAGCCATGCCCTGACCACAGGATGTTTAGACAGTCTGGAGCCATACCATGACCACAGGATGTTTAGACAGTCTGGAGCCACACCATGACCACAGGATGTTTAGACAGTCTGGAGCCATGTCATGACCACAGGATGTTTAGACAGTTTGGAGCCATGTCATGACCACAGGATGTTTAGACAGTATGCAGCCATGCCATGACCACAGGATGTTTAGACAGTCTGGAGCCATGCCATGACCACAGGATGTTTAGACAGTCTGGAGCCATGTCATGACCACACAATGTTAAGACAGTCTGGAGCCATGTCATGACCACAGGATGTTTAGACAATCAGGAGCCATGTCATAACCACAGGATGTTTAGACAGTCTGGAGCCATGCCATGACCACAGGATGTTTAGACAGTCTGGAGCCATGCCATGACCACAGGATGTTTAGATAGTCTGGAGCCATGTCATGACCACAGGATGTTAAGACAAGTCTGGAGCCATGTCATGACAACATGATGTTAAGACAGTCTGGAGCCATGCCATGACCACAGGATGTTTAGACAGTCTGGAACCATGCCATGACCACAGGATGTTTAGACAGTCTGGAGCCATGTCATGACCACAGGATGTTTACAGTCTAGAGCCATGTCATGACTACATGATGTTTAGACAGTCTGGAGCCATGTCATGACCACAGGATGTTTAGACAATCTGGAGCCATGTCATAAGCACAGGATGTTTAGACAGTCTGGAGCCATGCCATGACCACAGGATGTTTAGACAGTCTGGAGCCATGTCATGACCACAGGATGTTAAGACAGTCTGGAGCCATGTCATGACAACATGATGTTAAGACAGTCTGGAGCCATGTCATGACCACAGGATGTTTAGACAGTCTGGAGCCATGTCATGACCACAGGACATTTAGAGTCTGGAGCCATGTCATGACAACATGATGTTTAGACAGTCTGGAGCCATGTCATGACCACAGGATGTTTAGACAGTCTGGAGCCATGCCGTGACTACAGGATGTTAAGACAGTCTGGAGCCATGTCATGACGACATGATGTTAAGACAGTCTGGAGCCATGTCATGACCACACAATGTTAAAACAGTCTGGAGCCATGTCATGACCACACAATGTTAAAACAGTCTGGAGCCATGTCATGACCACACAATGTTAAAACAGTCTGGAGCTATGGCAGGGAGAATCATCTGTACAAGTAGCATTTATCTGACACCCAATAATGCAACAGTGCATGTAATTCTGTGTGCGTTGAACATGATCATGTCATAGCCATCTAATAAGTACTGATCAGTAAATAAGACAAGAAATGTTTATTGTCCCATGAGGTTTTGTTTCTGACCACTGAGAAAATGACTGGGTGATCCAAAATCCTTCCAATGAATTTCAGAGAGTGGTGATTCAGTTTCTCTCAATTTAAGGATGTCAGTCACAGAACAGTCATGGAAAAATGCAGACAGCAGACAGTAACAAATTTGTATTGAAGAACAACAGTGACAGATGGGGGGGGGGGGGGGGACTGTTTCAGTGACAGATGGGAAGGGATGGGGGGGGGGGGGGGGGGAACGACTGTTTCAGTGACAGATGGAGGACGACTGTTTCAGTGACAGATGGGGGGGGGTGGGGAGGGGGGGGGGGCGCAACTGTTTCAGTGACAGATGGGGGACGACTGTTTCAGTGACAGATGGGAGGGGGGATAACTGTTTCAGTGACAGATGGAGGACGACTGTTTCAGAAAGAACGTGAGTGCAGGTACGGCTGGGTCAAGCACATACTGCTGCAACAGGAAAAAAACCCATCTCCAAAACTGGTGCAGCTATTGAGCCATAGAGGTGGACAGTTGTTGAAGCATACGCTTGCTAATGAAGGAATTCAATGTGTCAACTCAAGACAGTTGTTGAAGCATACGCTTGCTAATGAAGTGATTTAATGTGTCAACTCAAGACAGTTGTTGAAGCATATGCTTGCTAATGAAGTGATTTAATGTGTCAACTCAAGGCAGTTGTTGAAGCATACGCTTGCTAATGAAGGAATTCAATGTGTCAACTCAAGACAGTTGTTGAAGCATACGCTTGCTAATGAAGTGATTTAATGTGTCAACTCAAGGCAGTTGTTGAAGCATATGCTTGCTAATGAAGGAATTCAATGTGTCAACTCAAGACAGTTGTTGAAGCATACGCTTGCTAATGAAGTGATTTAATGTGTCAACTCAAGGCAGTTGTTGAAGCATATGCTTGCTAATGAAGGAATTCAATGTGTCAACTCAAGACAATTGTTGAAGCATACGCTTGCTAATGAAGTGATTTAATGTGTCAACTCAAGGCAGTTGTTGAAGCATATGCTTGCTAATGAAGGAATTCAATGTGTCAACTCAAGACAATTGTTGAAGCATACGCTTGCTAATGAAGTGATTTAATGTGTCAACTCAAGGCAGTTGTTGAAGCATATGCTTGCTAATGAAGGAATTCAAAGTGTCAACTCAAGACAATTGTTGAAGCATACGCTTGCTAATGAAGGAATTCAATGTGTCAACTCAAGACAGTTGTTGAAGCATACATACGCTTGCTAATGAAGGAATTCAATGTGTCAACTCAAGACAATTGTTGAAGCATACGCTTGCTAATGAAGGAATTCAATGTGTCAACTGTGGCGCGGTGATTTATGTCACAGGCGCGAGGGGAAGTTAAGCCCAACATGATTTGTATAAGGAGATACTCCGTACGTCACTCGGGCGCCAGTCCTTAACTATCCTGGTTGTACGGAACCTCACGCAAGATCCCTACAGCACGTCCTCGTCGTGCGCCACGGATAATGTCTCAAATGAGCATTAACAGAGCTGTCAGGGGATCTCGGAGTTCGGCGGCCCCCAGAGGTGATGTGTCCTTGTGGCTCTCATCAGCCCGCCCCCAAACGCTTGGGTGAAAAATGTTATCAAAACTCATTAGGAACATGAGTAGGTTTGCCAAACGTACAGCCAAAATTACAACCCTTGGTTAAAAGACTGCGGAGTAAAGAGAACATTGTTCACTGCACATCCTCTGTTAACCCTCAGTGTCGTCGTCACCGCGCTGAGGTACACCACAACAGCAACCATCCATAGGCTGGCCATCCTTGTACATCCTCGGTTAACCCCCAGTGTCGTCGTCACCGCGCTGGGGTACACCACAACAGCAACCATCCATAGGCTGGCCATTCATGTACATCCTCGGTTAACCCTCAGTGTCGTCGACACCGCGCTGAGGTACACCACAACAGTAACCATCCTAACTGTCCGACAAAACTAGATCATACGGATCAAAATCTGACCATCAAGATTTGTATTGAACTGAAAAAGACCGAATGTCCACACCCAAAGACCCCACTCGCCCGAGTGTTGGGACAAAACTGATAACGATATGCCTGATGCAGGATGTAAAATTCTGTCGGGCTAACGGCTCGTCAAAGAAATCTAACGTGCGAAGAAAAAAATAATGTACCTATCTGTGTGGTCACTAAAGTCCAAAAGCCACGGGCTGCTCCCCGCTGACTTCCAGAGGGCGCAGCCCCTGTCGAGCGGGAGGCCTGATACGGTTGTGAGGTTAAGCAGGCATGTGCAGGAGGTGACGATTCCTTGGGTGAGCCCAGAACCAGAGCGCCATGTGCCAGCTCTGCATGCATGGAAGCCTCCTTGGATGGCGGGGAATGCCCATGATCTGCCCCTGCCTTCCCTTGAGGGCTAACTGTTCCACAGGGGGCTGCCCCAAAGGGGTACTCCGAGGGCAATACCTGCGGAGGAGACAAAGTGGACACCACACAAATCAGGCAACGTCTCGACCCACACAAAACAATGGCCACAGTCAACCTAGAAATAGGCCTGACGACTTCCTTCGAAGTCGGAGTACAGCTGCCCATGAGGCAGGGAAATGAAAAACGGTTGTACACGCAAAAATCAGGTCCAGGTGAAAGCCAAAAGTCCAAGCGGACGATTAACCGGGACCTTCCACTGGAATTCACAGCCGGTGATCGATTAAAAAAAAAAAAAAAATGTGTCAACTCAAGACAATTATTGAAGCATACGCTTGCTAATGAAGGAATTCAATGTGTCAACTCAAGGCAGTTGTTGAAGCATACACTTGCTAATGAAGGAATTCAATGTGTCAACTCAAGACAGTTGTTGAAGCATATGCTTGCTAATGTAGGAATTCAATGTGTCAACTCAAGACAGTTGTTGAAGCATACGCTTGCTAATGAAGTGATTCAATGTGTCAACTCAAGACAGTTGTTGAAGCATACATACGTTTGCTAATGAAGGAATTCAATGTGTCAACTCAAGACAATTGTTGAAGCATACACTTGCTAATGAAGGAATTCAATGTGTCAACTCAAGACAATTGTTGAAGCATACACTTGCTAATGAAGGAATTCAATGTGTCAACTCAAGGCAGTTGTTGAAGCATACGCTTGCTAATGAAGTGATTCAATGTGTCAACTCAAGACAGTTGTTGAAGCATACATACGTTTGCTAATGAAGGAATTCAATGTGTCAACTCAAGACAATTGTTGAAGCATACACTTGCTAATGAAGGAATTCAATGTGTCAACTCAAGACAATTGTTGAAGCATACACTTGCTAATGAAGGAATTCAATGTGTCAACTCAAGACAGTTGTTGAAGCATATGCTTGCTAATGTAGGAATTCAATGTGTCAACTCAAGACAGTTGTTGAAGCATACGCTTGCTAATGAAGTGATTCAATGTGTCAACTCAAGACAGTTGTTGAAGCATACATACGTTTGCTAATGAAGGAATTCAATGTGTCAACTCAAGACAATTGTTGAAGCATACACTTGCTAATGAAGGAATTCAATGTGTCAACTCAAGACAATTGTTGAAGCATACACTTGCTAATGAAGGAATTCAATGTGTCAACTCAAGACAGTTGTTGAAGCATACACTTGCTAATGAAGGAATTCAATGTGTCAACTCAAGACAATTGTTGAAGCATACACTTGCTAATGAAGGAATTCAATGTGTCAACTCAAGACAGTTCAACAGGTTGCTCTAAGAAACTGCAATATCAGAAAGTGTGTTCACAATGGGCACCAGGGACATTGAGCAACCAGCAAAAGGAGGAATGCATGGGGCAGTGTTGGAATCACTGGCTGTGTTTCAGAGCAGAGGCTGATGCATTTCTCTCCCACATTATGGCAAGAGATGAAACATTGTGTCATCAGTCTGAGCCTAAGAAAGAGCAAACTATTGTAGCATGCCGGATCACCAAAGGACCAAAACAAAACTCGTCGCAGGTTTCCACTGATAAGGATATACTGAGCTAATTTTTTTTACAATGAACTGCTACTGTTGCAGACTTTAAACGACCTTGTTTCAACATCCACTCTACCCACTAGCTGGAAACATTAGACAAGCTACATAAAGCCATCAAGAATAACTGTGCTCCATGGTTTCTTGCAGTGTGATTTTATTACATGGTAATGCTCATCTGCATGGATACATAGATTGTGCAGGAAGTGATAGCACAGAAGAAGTGGACAATTCTGCAACGTCCAACCTATTGTCCTGATTTTTCACCACGTGATTTTCATTTGTTGGGACCTCTAAAAAGAGCTCTCAAGGGGTAAAGATTTGCAGATGTGATCAAGACATTAAACATTTGGTTCAGTGAGTAGCAACAATATTATTTGTTGTTTTTGGAAGGGATAGCATGCACTGCCTACGTAAGCAATGGGATGCTTGTCTGAATACTTACAGCAATTTGTTTCTGACCAACACATCTTGCATAATTAATTCAACGTGAATACTTTGTTATAAATTCTGCAGCACCTGTTGATGTTTCTTCAGCCACTGGAATTATTTTTCAATGAAAGTTTCTTTTAAAAGTTCAGTAGGCTGAACAGAAGGAAGTGGACAGACTTGAAGAACTCGCAGCAGAGATAGCTGCAGTACGGCAGAACAGAAGGAAGTGGACAGACTTGAAGAACTCACAGCAGAGATAGCTGCAGTACGGCAGAACAGAAGGAAGTGGACAGACTTGAAGAACTCACAGCAGAGATAGCTGCAGTACGGCAGAACAGAAGGAAGTGGACAGACTTGAAGAACTCACAGCAGAGATAGCTGCAGTACGGCAGAACAGAAGGAAGTGAACAGACTTAAAGAACTCACAGCAGAGATAGCTGCAGTACGGCAGAACAGAAGGAAGTGAACAGACTAGAAGAATTCACAGCAGAGATAGCTGCAGTACGGCAGAACAGAAGGAAGTGGACAGACTTAAAGAACTCACAGCAGAGATAGCTGCAGTACGGCAGAACAGAAGGAAGTGGACAGACTAAAAGAACTCACAGCAGAGATAGCTGCAGTACGGCAGAAAAGTACCTGATGACTGTCTTCCTCCAAAGCTTCTGAGTGTTCTGTGTCATCATTGTCTGCTATCACACCCTCCAGACCCTCAACATGATGCAGACCTTCTGAATGATGCTCTCTCGCTACACCAAGCCCAATTGGGTCATCATCATCTACTGTCATTGATGAAGAAACTATGTTAACATGATCTTCGTCATCATCATCATCTCTTGTAGCAGGGTCCAGAGTATCATCACCATCTGAGTTCAGGTTTGCTTCAATGCCGTTCTGAAAACAAGTACAAAAATAGCGATGTAACAGATACAAGGGCTAGACCTATATTTGTATAGACCAATCGGCCCTTGGCTTTTCTAGCATGAAGAATATTATTCCTTTGTGTGGATGAGAACAAATATGCTGTTACAGTGTGTTTTATTTGTTTGAGTTTATAACAGCAGTCAGTAGTATTGTCTGTGTTGTCACAAAATGTTGGACACTGTGATCAACTGTCATCCCACACTGTGTCAGCGACTTCCATGGAGAAGTAGTTTGCCATTGCTTTCTGGACGGTGGGCTTTCTTGATACCACTGTCGAAATCAACGCAAGGCGCATGGCCCGCAGATGGGATCGAACCCGGCATCCCGGGATTACGAAGCGTTCGCATCGACTTAGCCAGAGAGCCAACATTATCACAAATGGGTCACCCTTTAACCGGATGTCTCCTATTACCTTAGATGTATCTATAAGTAAGTGATATCTTACCTCCGAATGGTCGCCTAGTCCGGTGTAATCTTCATCATGGACATTGGTGGACAAAGGGGACAGAGAACTGGATTCCCCTAATGTGTCTAAAACAGTTTCCATGACTTGGTTCTTGCAAGCAGCACCAGAACTGTACTTGAATCCTGCAATGTGACAATCTTAATACATTGGGACACAAAGCCAGTATTTTGCTCTGTTCATATCTTTTTTTGCCGGGGCGGGGGGAGGGGTTAAATTTCAGCAGCTAGCAGAAATACTTGCGAAAGTTAAACAAAAAAGAAATTTGTGCAAAAACAGATATAATATTCAGGCATCTCAGTAGTAGCCATAAACTGACTGATAAATATATGTTTTAGCTATATTCACCAATAGTCAATAATACAGTCTTAGAAAACAGATTCAGTACAGTAACAATTTATAAATGTATTGTTTCAGTAACTGGCATCCCTGACTGACATTTCTGAGGTGGATAGCTTTTTGGTGACATTTCTCTCAAGTTTGTACAACAAATTGAGGGTCTTCATGATGAAGCAGTTGAGGTGTTTGTCTCAAGCTTAGAAGGTGGAGGATCCATTTTAGACTGCACTGGTTCAAAAGTTCCCATCTGCCCAAACAACATTGTCTGTGTCGATCAATTGTCCCATCTTCATATATAAATATATTGATTCGCATACGGCTCTGTATTGGTTTCTAATGTTCGAAACTATCATTAAAGTATTTAGGGAAGGTTGGTCTACCGTTTTTCTTTGTAAACAAATCTATGTCCCCATACATGTGGCACAAACTGATTTGATTCTTTGCTGGCGTGATCTTCAGACTGCATTTTCTTATTTCATGTTCAAGTGGCCATAGTTTTTGTTCTGAACGCTAGCACAGAACGAAAAATGTGCCTTTCTGTGACTGAAGCTCTGAAATTGTTTCAGTCAGATGTTTCCTAATAATAGAAAATTAAAATTTTTGGGAAAGTGATTCAGACGGTAAATTTACACCAGCGGCAGCTGAGCAGTCAGCTGTTCATTTTGATGGGGTAGATCCAGGAGGACCCATTTCATTTGTGAAGGATGTGATAGTCACCCCCATTTGCAAAGTGACTGTTTCAGTATCACTCATTCTATGGCTAAGTGCATTGAAATCATTGTAGCTGCAGTCTATATATATAAAACTACAAAGTTAATATTTTGTGTGTACAGGACTATAGGTCCAGTTTTCTGTCAATTTTTCTTTGAAATTTTATTTAGCACTATGTGAGAACCTAGAGCCTCTGAGTGATAGACTATCACAGAACTGTATCAATACTTTTGAATATGTTAGGAAACTGAACAAACTTTAAAGTGTAATTCTCAAATATGGATATTCACTGCTATTGTGGCTGCAAAACCAGGGCAAGTGACAATTTGGGGGGGGGGGGGGGGGGGGGAGGGGGGGGGGGAATTCTGTCTCTGTTAACATAACACTTGCTGAATAATTTTTTTCCTGTTAACTATAACAGTATAAAACAAAAACATATCATCAGATTCAAAATGTATATTTATTTCTCTTTAAAAAAAATGTGTACTTTGGAAGGGATTTTAAATATATTACATCCTCAAACTCCTTTTTTTTCACCACCCCGCCTGCCATTTTTGTAAAGAGAAATTATTGTGAGCCAAGTCTGTCAAAATTCATGGGCCTGAAAGAGTCAACTCTTTGAGTCACAGGAAATGCATCACGCGCTAATTAGTTACAACCCAGCGACCCAATCGACACGTGACAAGTGATGGTTTTTAATTTACAGCTGACCGGTTATAAAACGCAGACCGCTCAATTTCAACTTCCTTTTGGGTTTTTTGTGTCTGATATCAGGCATGCTCATTTGAAAACATAGTTTAAAAGCTGAAAATATAGTATATTAGCGAGGTTTACCTAGTTACTAAGTTTGTTTGAAAACAATCTGGCCACTGAGCAGTATTCTACATGCATGCCAACACCATTTACATCTTTAGAAGTTTCACATTTAAACAAAGCAAGTGCTTATTAGATTTATCCGTAGTTAGATAGATACAGTTGTGAAGTAGACGTGTTTCAGTCATTGATAGAGTCAAACTTTAATGAGGGATAGGTCTAATGTGTACCTCACACGAAGGGTACAATGATAGAAAGTCAGCTGACACAAATAGAATAAATACTAGCGAAAAGACCATTTTCTTCTGTGTCAGTTAGTTCCAGTGCTATTCCACTTATTATTTAGGATCATAGCTACATGTGTCAGTTCTTGGTCAGATATGACTGAGCTCCCGTATAACAGTACCCGGTACCACCTGTCTTCTGTTACGCCGAATGTTGGGTGGCGTATACTAACCCAACATCCCATATTGTGCCAACTTCTTCGGGCGGAGGAGCGCAATGGGGAGGATACTAGCCTTATCCTAGGAAGAGCAAATGCAACCTGAAAACTTTGTGTTATGGCAGGACAGACCAGGCCCTTCACCTTGTCAGGCAGCTGGTCTAGGAGGGAAGCTCCGACAGGCAGACAGATAGAGCACTGCTTTTCTGATCCGGCAGCTTCTGCAACCTGCCTCGTTCCAAAAGTACCGGTTTTACCTTTCCTTTGGATTAAACAAGGCAGGTCAAGAGAGAGATCATTATGCATGGGCACATTTGGTCTCTACAATACTGCCCAGGCTTTGTGCTATGGAGAGAAGGAACTTTATCCCTGGCCTTAATCGGTCTCGGAAACAAACTGAGAGACAGCAGTTACAGGTTATAAGTCCTTGTCAGTTGGCGTAGATGAGGGTGCCATGGGTTGCCTCTGACGGTGGGAGACATCTTCGAATGTCACTGATCAACTACAGCCCGCCTCAAGCTGGGCAGCCCCCAGCCAATAAGGTGTTGATCCGCCACAGCTTGTATGCTTCAACGGGTGCTTGGCGCTAGGATGAACTGCAGGCTGTAAAACCAATGCACCAGGCAATAAAAAGAAACATAACCCCAAGCTTCGACTTGGCTCTTGGAACGTGAGGACCATGTGTCTAGGGTTTTCTACTGACCTGGAAAACATTAATGATGTGAGAAAAATGGCTATAATTGATGCCGAACTCAACAAACTTGATATAGATATTGCTGGCCTACAGGAAACCCGTCTGCCAGAGGATGGGTCTATTAGAGAAAATAATTATACATTTTTCTGGAAAGGCAGAGGCCAGGAAGAAATCAGGATGTATGGAGTGGGATTTGCAGTAAAAGAATTCACTGTTGAGAGTCACAACTGGAGGAAGTGACAATATTATCCCTATGATTGTCTACATCAAGCGGTTTTATTACTCTTGTTACTGCAGATGCACTCACTCTAACGTCAACAGAGGATGCAAAGGATTCTTTTTATGAGGAACTGGATAAAGCAGTGAAATCAATTTCTAAATCTGACGGCGTCTATATACTTGGTGTTTTTAATGCTCGTGTAGAGTCAGACTCAAACTCATGGCCAGTTTGTCTTGGTAAATATAATGTTGGCCACATGAATGAAAATGGGCAGAGACTGCTGGAATTATGCACTAGAAGTGACTTGTGCATCACAAACGCCTTTTTACAAACTAAAGACCGCCATAAAGTGTCATGGACACATCCTAGATCTGGCCACTGGCACCAGCTGGACCTTATTCTCACAAGGAGGCAGCACTTGAACTGTGTATCACTAACTCGCAGCTACCACAGTGCTGACTGTGATACTGACCATTCCCTAGTTGCTGCAAGAGTTTGGATGAAACCAAAGAGAACTTTCACTTCAAAACACAAATATATCCCTAGGTTAAATATTTCCAAAACTAAAAACCCTGAAAAATGTTTTGAGTTTCAACAAGAACTTGAAGATGCTTTCACTGATATCCAGGATAACTCTACAGCAAGCCTAAAATGAGATGCAGCTAGGGAGACTGTTTACAAAACAGCTGTATCAGTCTATGGGATTAGAGAAAATAGAAGTGAGGACTGGTTTGAAGCAAATAACCAAACACTCCAACCTTTAATTGACAGCAAAAAGGTAATACTCCTCAGAAACAAGTAAAGAACAATAAGGAACACTCTCATACCCTTTGAGCAGCTAGAAATCATTTGCAAAAGGTAACTAGGCAGTGTGCCAACAACTACTGGATCCAGTTATGTGAAAGCATTCAAAATGCTAGCAGTGGTGGTAATGCTAGAGGCATGTATGAGGGTATCAAGAAGGCCATCGGTTCTACTATTTAAAAAGTGTACCACTAAAGTTTTTGAATGGGGAGATTATTAACGACAAGAAAAAAGCATCTAGATAGATAGGTGGAACATTATCTGGAGCGATACTCAGTTGATACTAAACTAACAGATGGTGCTCTTATGCCATGAATACGCTACCAACTCTTGACAATCTGGACACATTTCCAGCAGTTGTAGAAGTTGGGAATGCTATTGATGAACTGGCTTCAGGGAAAGAACCAGGCAGAGACGGAATTCCTATTGAAATCATCAGGAGTTGGAAAGACATTCTAACCCCACACATCCATCAGTTAATAACACTGCTGGCAAGAGGGACAGGTTCTGCAAGATTTCAAAGACGCAAGCAACACAACTATGTACAAGAACAAGGGTGATCGGAGTGACTGCAATAACTACAGGGGAATATCACTGCTGTGTACTGTTGGAAAAGTACTTGCGAGAATTGTTCTGCAAAGACTCCAGATCCTAGGGGACCGCGTTTACCCAGAGTCCCAGTGTGGCTTTCGTGGGAACAGATCTACCACTGATATGATATTTTCATTACGACAGTTAGAGGAAAAATGCTGTGAACAAAATCAACCACTGTATGTGGCTTTTATTGATCTTACCAAGGCATTTGATTTGGTTAGTCGAAAAGGTCTGTTCAACGCACTGAAGAAGATTGGGTGTCCAACTACTCTACTGAGCATTATTGAGTCATTCCACACAGGTATGAAAGGTACAATCAACTTTGATGGTGTAACATCGGAGGAGTTTGTAATAAAAAATGGAGTGAAGCAGGGGTGTGTACTTGCACCTACCCTCTTTGGAATATACTTCTGACTTCTTTTGACACATGCCTTTCGAGATCAGAAGGGTGGTTATTTCATTAATTC